ATTCATAGGTGACATTCATTCATCTATGATACTATCATCATATGATACTGTATATAGAAAACCCTAAAGACTTCACCAAAAACTACTAGATCTAATAAATGAATTTGGAAAAATAGCATGATATAAAATTAATATTCAGAAATCAGAAGCATTTTTATACACCTTTAATGAACTATCAGAAAGCAAAATTAAGAAAACAATCCCATTTACTATTGCAACAAAAATATATAAGGTACTTAGGAATAAATTTAACCAAGAGGTAAAAGACCTGTACTTTTAAAATTATAGGAAACTGAAGAAAGAAATTTTGGAAGATACAAAGAACTGGAAGCATATACTATGTTCACAGGTTGGAAAAATCAACATCATTAAAATGTCTATACTACTCAAAGTAATCTATAGATTCAATGCAATTTCTACTAAAATACCAATGGCATATTTCACAAGTCTATAACAAATATTCCAAAAATGTATATGGAACCAAAGACTTGGCAAAAAGACCCCAAGTAGAAGCAAAAGAAGATCAAAGTTGAAGGCATCACAATTCCTGATATCAAACTTTACTACAAGGCCATAATACTTAAAAGAACCTGGTTTTGACATAAGAACAGGCACATAAATCAATGGAAAATAACAGGGAGCCCAGAAATAAACTCATGTCTTAATGGTCAATTAATTATTGACAAAGGAGGCATGGGTATACAATCGAATAAAGTCAGTCTCCTGAACAAATGGTGTTGGGAAAACCAGACTGGTACATGCAAAAAGAAAGAAAGAAAGAAACTAAACTACCAACTTACACTATACACAAGAGTAAACTCAAAATGTATACAACACTTAAATGAATGTCACAAAACCATAAAATCCTAGAAAAAAACATAGGTAGTAAAGTCTCAGACATCTCTCATAGCAATATTTTTGCCAGTATAACTTCTCAGACAATGGAAAGAAAGGAAAAAATAAATCAAACTAAAAAGCTTCTGCACAGCAAAAGAAACCATCAACCAAATGAAAAGTGAATCCAGTGAATGGGAGCAGGGTTAATTTCCAAAATATAATATATAAAGAACTTGTACAACTCAGCACTAGGAAGACAATCCAATTAAGAAATTGGCAAATGACCTGAAAAGACACTTCTCCAAAGAAGACATACGGATGGTCAATAGACATATGAAAAGATGCTCAACATCACTAATCGTCAGAGAGATGTGAATTAAAACCATAATGAGATATCAGCTCACACCTGTCAGAATGGCTATTATCAATAAGTCAACAAACAACAAATGTTGCTGAAGATGTGGAGAAAAGGGAACCCTCATGCACTGTTGGTGGGAACACACATGGGTGCAGCCACTGTGGAAAACAATATGGAATTTGCTAAAAAAATTAAAAACAGAACTCCTGCCCTGGCTGGTGTGGCTCAGTGGACTAAGTGCTGATTTGGGTACCAAATGGTTGCCAGTTTGATTCCCAGTCAGGGTACATGCTTGGGTTGTGGGCCAAGTCTCCAGTAGGGGATGCACATTAATGTTTCCCTCTCTCTTTCCCTTCCCTTTTCTCTAAAAATAAATAATAAATAAAATCTTTTTAAAAAATGGAACTCCCTTTTGACCCAGTGATCTCACCTCTGTGAATGTATCTGAAGAATCCAGAAACACTAATCCAAAAGAATATATGCACCCATATGTTCATTGCAGAATTATTTACAACAGCCAAGATGTGGAAATAGCCCAAGCACCCATCAGCAGATGAGTGGATAACAAAGCTGTGGTACATTTACGCAACAGAACACTACTCGGCTACAAAAAAAAAGGAAATCTTACTATCTTACCTTTGTGGAATCATGGATGGATTTGAAGATTATTATGCTGAGTGAAATAAGCCAGTCAGAGAAAGCCAAATACCATATGATCTCAATTATATGTGGAATCTAATAAACAAAATAAACTGACAAAGTAAAATCAGAGGCCTGAATGCATGGAAAAGATTGACAGCTGTCAAAGGGAAGGGTCAGAGGACTGGATGAAAGAAGGTGACGGGATTAATCAAAGACACACACATACATATAGTGATATTTTTCATGAATGTAAGCATACTGTCTGTATTTTTCTGCAATTTGTTTTATTTACTTACACTTGTAGACTTTCCATATTAGTACTTACAGATCTTTCACTTTTAAAAAAACTTTAGGCGTCCCTGCCAGTACCTGTGAAACAGAGACTCAGAGAGGCTTCAGCGCCTCTGTGCACTTCTGCCAGATCTTCACATGAGTCTGCAGGTCCTGCTCTGGCCAGGTCAGCTTCGGGATGCCCTGGGGCTAAAAGGGCTTGGGAGCCTCGTGGGCTGACACTGTCTGCCCAGGGCTTGGCACCTACTACTGTCTCCCAACACAGGCTGGGAGCTTGAAGACGAAAGTGTCTAGTTTCCCTTGACCTTGAGGACCTGGGAAGGTTATATGCACCATGGCTATGACTAGTGCCAGATTGCCCACCAGTATTCTAGGAAAACCAGGTGCACGGATTGGACTCTGAGGAGCGCAATGAAGGATACCTTCACACAAACTCTGTGCTTCCTGGATTTGATACTTATATTTTTTTAGTTCCAAAATAAATGCACCAAATTGTAAACACACTTTTCCATAACATTTTCTTACTGGGATTCACAGGGCTTTTAATACCTCCAGAATATATTTTCCCATTTTTCTATAAGACTCAAAAGTAACATAGCCTCTTAAAAAAATCCACTGATTTTAACCTGCAGCAAAACTGGTTAATACTGCAATCAGTATAGGTGAGTAGCACCACACAGCCTCCAAGTTTTCCCAGATATTTTGGGCCTTGACTTCCCTAAGAAGTGAAAAGATAGTGTAGTCTTTTCAGTATGATGTTATCCTGAAGACAGGCCTAGACATTAGAAGAAATGAAATGGAAGGAGCATTCTACAAAGGTGAGCTCAGGCTGAATGAGACAAAATTGTGGATGAAAAGCAAAACGGTGAAAGTGGGCGATACATTGAATCTTCTAACTGGAGAAAATAAAGAAACAGAAACAGAGGTAATGATGCAAATTCTGAAAAAAATGTTTGAACGCTGAAAGTGAAAAGTAGAGAGAGGTCTTACAATGGTGGAGAAAGTTAAAATGGCATAAAAAGAGTATGATTAAATAAATGGATTGCTTTTTAGCAATACAGTTGTTTTCTAATGGGGAAAGGAGCTAGCTCAAAAAGCAGACATTTTTATTTAAAAAAAAAACCTACATAGAATTCCCTAGAATGTCTATTCCATAGTTTATTCAACCATTCTTCCATTAAGGGACATTTCAGATGTTTTCAACACCACCCTCCCCTACCCCCAGCTCAAATGTTGTACTAAACAGCTCTGTCGATGCCTCTTTTGGAAATTGCTTCTAAAGGATACATTCTGTTTTAATTTACCTATGTGTATGGCTATTAGTATTACAGATCTTTTTTTATTTTATTTTTTAAAGATTTTATTCATTTACTTTTAGAGAGGGAAGGGAGGGAGAAAGAGAGAGAGAGAGAGAAACATCAATGTGCGGTTGCTGGGGGCCGTGGCCTGCAACTCAGGCATGTGACCTGACTGGGAATCGAACCTGCGACACTTTGGTTTGCAGCCCATGCTCAATCCACTGAGCTACGCCAGCCAGGGCTTGGATTACAGATCATTTTAAATTATTTATAAGAAGTAGAGCACACAGGAATTCTTCCATTGTTAAATGACACATGTTATTTATTATAGATATTAGGGAACTGAACAAATAAATAAATTCTCTTGAGAAAAAAAAAGCAGGGTAAGGGGATGGAGAATTTGGGTGTGGTGGTTATAGTTTTCAGTAGTGTGGCAGGGGAAGGCCTCACTTCCAAAGCAGTATCTGATAGTCCCTGAAGGAGGTTATGCAGCATAAGCTATGGAGTAGGGGGGTGGAATACATTGTAAGTAGCAGGGACCAAAGCCCAGGCAAAAGTGTGCTTGGCAATTTGTTCTAACCACGAAAAGATTTATTCCAGTCCCCACTCCATTAAACTCTACATCTTTCATTGCAATGCCATTAGTCCCTCTCTCTCTCTCCCTCTCTCTCTCTGTTTTCTTCTTTCTTTCTTTAATTTGCGATAGGTTTGGACTGGCCTGCACATAAATTTCAGTTTTCTCAACTTGTCCAAGAATGCAGCAAAGCAGGTTAACACTGCAGTCAATATAGGTAAGAAGCACGACACGGCCTCCAAGTTTTCCCAGATCTTTTGGGCCTTGGCTCCCTAAGATACTGTTCGCATTTGTCTTTAAAGATCTTTTCACAATCCGCCCTGGTTTGGTCACATATGTACTGAATAGACTTGTGCTGTCCAATATGATAGCTCCTAACACTTGAAATATAGCTACTACGAACTGGATGTGCTTTAAGTGTAAAATACCAGACACAAAACCTGTAAAATAATTAACAATTCTGCTGAATTTACATGCTGAAATAATATTGGCCATATTGGATTAAAGTTTGCTACTTAATTTCACTTGTTATTCATGTTTCAAAATGTCGCTATTAGAAAATTTAAATTAGATATGCAGTTTGCATCCTGCTTATTTGGATAGCGCTGAATCAGACTGCGTGTTCCTGGTGGGGAGGGACCCCAAGCTGCACCTTGAAGCAGCTCCAAGCAGGTAGTAGCAGTTCCAGTTCACGGTGATGGCACTGTAGTGTCTGGGAAAGCTTCGAAGATTGACAACCGTGCAGAGGGTCCCAGAAGGATGACTTATGCTGTCAACGGAACCAACCGTGAACTGCGGAAGTGCGGCCTTCGCTGAGAAGGCGAAGTAAGAGTCTGCGGCCGGGCGAGACTGCTGGGATTCGCCAGCCCAGCTTGTCGCTCCGCCTCTTTGCGGCATAGCTCGGACCGGGGCAAACTGGTTCAGTGCAGCCCGCGACACCCCGTCCTCCCCGAAGCCCCACCTCCCCAGTTTTCGGTGGGAGACTGGAACGTCTATCCGCCAGCGGCCCGCAGCCAGGGAGGCGGCTACGAACTGAAGGGGCTGTAGTGATAGCTCTCGCCAGCAGCGCAGGGGCTGTGGGCTGTTGGGTGACCAATGGCGTAAGCGCGAGGGCGGTCCCTCCTTACCATCTAGCCCTCACCGCCCGGGCTGTGGGGCAGTCCCAGAGCAGCGGGAGGGGCCTGGGGGTGGCTGGAGTCTGCGCTCTGGATGCCTGCAGCTGGCGGGGCGATTACGTAGCCTGCGCCCGAGGCCTACGCGCCTTTCCCTGCGCACCTCTGCTCCCCGCAAACCCGGCCATCGCCTGGCGGACGGCATCTGGCTGGCAGCCGCCTGTGTCCCGGCGCCTGCACAGCACAATCTTCGTCGGCTTCCCCCACCTCGCGGCTGCCCCGCTTTGTCCCAGCGCCATTCCCTCTGACACCCGGGGCGCGCCGCCTGGCAGTCCCAGCGCCACACTGGCGTCGTCCTCTTCCCCTTCGCCGCCCCCCGCTCGTGGTCGGGCCTTGCCCCCCGTGATGTCTCGGCCGGAGCCGGAGAGCGAGGCCATGGACGCGGAGCTGGTGGTCACGCCGCCCGGCTGTACGCACTTGAGTAGCTTCAAAGTGGATAACTGGAAGCAGAACTTGCGGGCCATCTACCAGTGCTTCGTGTGGTGCGGTACTGCGGAGGCCCGCAAGCGCAAGGTGAGCCGCACCCCCCACCATCCCCGGAAACTGCGGGCGGGGCTGGGAGCCAGAGCCGAGCCACCCGGCGGCTCAGCGTGGGTGGAGTTGTTTCTGGTCCCGATTGGGGGCGAGAGGGAAAGGGCAGGGAGGGCTTGTTAGCCTCCCGCGGACCCTCGTGGCTGTGCGCCCCTATGGGGTGGGGCATAAGAGTGCTCTTTTACCTTTCTGTCTCGTTCCCCTCCCCCACCCCATTTCCTCTTCCTCCCCCGCGGTCTCTTCCCTACGCTGGTCTCTGCTGCGCGCCTCCGGGAGTGAGGGTTGGGATGGGGCAGGGTCTCGGCAGAGTGTTTAGTTTTGGGGCGGACGAGTGCAGTTCTGTGAAGGGGCGTATTCTCTTTCAGGTTTGCGTCGGAAGCCTAGTGCGGAGGAGGCCACTCTCTCCGACGTTTCGGAGCGGGGCCACTCGGCGGAATCCTCCAGGCGTGGGAGGGGTCGGGGTCGTGGTCGGGGTCGAGGATGTGTGTACTGAGAAAAAAATGAAACAAAAAATTAGGAGGGCAACAGAGATTCTCCGGGGCCTGTGTGGTGGTCTGCAGTGAGGTCAGTCCCCTGCCACCATCTTGAGTACGCATTGTGTACCCGAGTACCCATTAAGGATTACCTGGACCAAGGGAGCGCAACCTTGTGTCAAGACTGGGTTTGTTACTAGGGTGCAGTTACTGCTGTATTTGGCTAAACACCACACCGAGTCCAGCGTCTGCAGGAACAAATATAGGCAGATAGCTTTTTTTTTTTAACTATTCATGTTTGGGCGTGGTTGGATGTGGTAGCCGGGTTAGCGAGACATGTTGCCTTTTAGAACCACGTCTAAGAAAACCATGTCGGTATCAGCACAACCACGTATATACGAGAGGCACTGGTAGCGGTGGAGGTCGCGGCTTATCTGACAGATACAAATAAAGCGACCTACGCTGTAATTTTTTTTTTATCTCGGCCTCCGCAGGGTTAAAAGAAGGTTAGTCTGATGTGAAGGTAGAACCTGGCATGCGTTCTTCCATCAGATGCTTTAGCAAGAAATTAATCACCTACATTAGACACTGCAGAAATATTTAGGCTCATATTATTTTTCAGATATACATTCCATCCAAGTGATTAGCTTATTAATAATTTGGAAATCAGAAAATAACGGCATTCTTTAATCTGTGTAAAACTTGGTTCTTATAATGAAGGGCGGTTCTGCAATTTTACAGTCTGAGGTTGGGAGTTCGAGACTTCCACCTTGCGTGGCATGTTTTTGTTTTGTTTAATGGGAAAACTAACACCGCTGATTTGAATGTTAAGCTTAAATTTCTTTTTATCAGTAATGGTGTTGGGAAGCATTACCTGTTAGGATGAACTGAAATCAGATGAAACAGACGTACATTGGGGTGGGAGTGAAATCATTGTTGATGGAATTGTGTGCCCTTAAAAAAAATCACCTGGTTGAAACGCTTGCTGTCTGATGATGATCTTGTCACTGCACTGCGCTGTCGGGTCAACACTTCTGTAATGTAAGATTCATGTCCACACTAGATTAAGTAGGTGATCTCCTGCTCTTTTCCTTTCTCCACACCTTCTTTCCCTTCTCTCCCCCTCTTTTTCCCCTCCCCCATAATTTTTAACAAAGTTGAGAGTCAGGCTTAATCTATCCCTAACTTTGCCTCATTTCCTAAAGAAAGGAATCTTTTGCTATATGTGGCTTGGATTAGTTTGTTGTTTTAATGTTAGTTGCTTAGTGGGAAAGCTGTTGAAGAAACAACTTAAGCTATAGCAGACAGACACGAAGTGGTGATAAATATTTCTCTCAAAGTTCTGGTCTGTCAGTATTGCAGTACCTTTTGGTATTGTACCAGCCATGAACTAGAATGTCCTTCATCTGTCTGTTCTCTAGATTTTACAGGGATTATTTTCTGCATTAGTTTGGGTCCTATGTAACTGAGTTTCTAGCACTCTCTAGTGGCCCATTTAGAAAGAGCTGGTTTGAGAAATAGTTTAACCCTGATTAACTGTTACAGTTGGACAGTTTGTATATTTTGTTTCCTATAAAAATGCCAATTTATGTTATGATCTTTGTAAATAACTAAAGGTTCCTTGTGAGACTGAACTCAACTACAATATAACTACAGAAGTGAATCCCTGAGTGAGCAGGAGTTACAACTTTTCTCATCTAAGTACAGGTGGGTTAGAGTCTTTGTATCCAAACTTTGATTCTTCTTTTGATAGGTGGAGAGTGAAAAGAACACGGTCAGATTTGGTAACTTTCTGCCCACTTCAGGCTTGACGTGTACCACTGAATGTAAGGAGGACTCCCAGCTGTTGCCTGCGCCTGTCCCAAATTTGCGTTTCTGGCTTGTGTTAAATGAAACAAGTGCCTTGCCACTTAAGGGTTTGTGTGTCAAGATGGAAACTAACAATAAGAAATGGGATTTTCAGTTCTGTTCCCTAGTAAGACTTAACATAGTCTGCATTATATTTTGAACATATAGACATTTGGGGTACAGGTATTATTTTTTTTTTAAATCATTTTTTTTCTTGGAATTGTTCTGTGACTAAACTGTGACTAAATTTTATAGGAACTTGCACTCAAAATGAGCCCCTTTTGTGGCTATAATACATATTTTTTCCAGTATGCTTTACCAGAGGTGAAAAAGAGTTGTCAAACCTACTGTTAGTAATTTTGGACCATAATTGAGTCTGGTTTAATTTGGGCAGTGATTCAGAGGTTGGGAAACTACTTCTGAAGGCTTCTGAGGCCTAGGGTTTTGCGCTGAAAGTGACTCTTTGGGTAGAGATCCTTAGGGAAATGTTTTGTCTGGGAACAGAGCTAGAAGGAAGGGATGTCAGTCTGCGAAATGGTAGGTGAGAGGCGGAAGGCTCTAAGATCCAGAAGTCATACCTTACTCTGGCATGTTTTGCTTTGTTTTTGTTTTTTCCTGTTTCTGTGTTTGTAGTTTAACACAACTGTTTACAGAATTATGATGTGGGCACCCTTTGGAAGAAAGTGGGGTGAGTCTTTTTTTCTGAACTTCCCATTCTGTCATCAGTTCAGAATTAGCTCTTACCCCTGGATTTTTTTTTCTTAAGGAATTGAAATCATTGTTAAAAGACCATTTAAACAGTAGGTGTCACATGGCAAGGTAATATCTGCCTTAAAATTCAAACTATTGGTGGATGTTCAATGAAAATTCCAATGCACAGGATAGATAGATGCTCAGATGTTGGTAAGTTTTACAAGGAAGATTAAAAGTTATGAATTCATGTTTGTTTTTAAAAGAAATAGTTAAACAGAAATGATAATATGAGTATGTTCTCAGTACGTAAAAATAAAATACCTTAAAGACTTCCAGAAAGTGAGCCTTCCCTGGCCCCTAATAGTAGGTAACTACTATTAAAATCTGTTTGCTATCTGGGTCTTCCAGGCTTTTTAAAAATTGTAAATATTTGTGTACATATAAAGGAAAGATACATCTTCGTGTTTTTGTCATGTAGGTATACATTATGCGTACATTGTTTCCTTTTGTCACTTGTTGCCTCTGCGTGTAGATCTCACTCTTTACAACAGAGCAGCTGCTCTGTTGTAAATGGTTACCACTGAATGGTAACAGCATTGTGTATTTTCCCTTTCATACATGTATAGAAGCTTTCGACTTGGAGAATTTAAGAATTTGTAAAACTAAATCCTAAAAATCCATGTAGAGAAGGAATAGTTTTCGGCAATTAACTGTCTTGGTTTGCTGATGGATTGAAATGTGATTTTTCTATTTGATGTTGAAATTGAGATGTATTTTTAAACTGAACTTTAGGAATGATTTATTGTAATAGGAAACAGTGGGGAGCAGGGGAGGTAGATAAAGGAGACAAATAAAAAATTAAATGTAAAACATGACAATTTAAGGTAGTCTGGTGTCATGGAGTACAAATAATGCTCTAGCTCCCATTTTGCACCTTTACGGAGTGACAGTATGACTATAGGTTTGTGGACTCGTGCTTAAGAAGGGAGGGGCTATGATAGTGTTTTAGAGGGGTGCTGTCAGGGCTTGGGTTGTACTGGGGGAAGGGAGAGCATTTCAGTTGAAAAATGGTCTTGTGTTATTTATCTCAAGTCAGTGATTTAGAAAATTGTTTACTTTAGGGTTCTGTACTGATCATCTCTTTTTATCAATGCTATTTCAGTTCTGGAGTCTTAGGTGACTGTCCTGAAATATGAATGAATCTCTGTGTTGATCTTTTGAGTACACATCATTGTTGGGGAATAACAGAATACCTGGAAGCTGACATCCAGGATCTGGTAGACATTGGATTAAGAGCCATGAAATATACTTGTGTTATCAGCTCCACAAACAACTGACTGACTCTCTTGACAGCCAGCTGTGTACTTTGCTGCTGCATCGAAAGACACAGAGAGCTTCTCCTGGCTTTCCCTCCTCCTCCTCCTTTTTATAATTTTTTTAAGTTCAGTTTATTTTTTGAATATGTCCCTTTTTTAAGTTAACTTTTTTCTTTTCAAACTTTATTGCTTTGAAGAATGAACATTTTGCTTGATTGATTGACTGGATCTTTCTTATCATTACAATAAAATATTACACCGTTCACACTAAGCGGGGTATAAGCCATTCCCAATAAAAGATCTCAAATAGAAAAAAGGTATTTTTTTTTTATTTTTTAAATTTATTTTTCTGATTAATTTTTTAATTGATTTTAGGGAGAGGAAGAGGAAGATTGAGAGAGAAACATCAATTTATTGTTCTACTTATCAGCTTACTTATGTAATTAGTGGTTAATTTTTATACATTCCCTGACCAGAGATCAAACCCACAACCTTGGTGTATCAGGACAGCACTCTAAGCAACTGAGATACCAGGCCAGGTCTAGAAAAGGTTTTTGTTTGTTTGTTTAATGACGATTTTAATTTGGGATATTTATAGATTAACATGCTATTGTAAAAGATAATAGAGATCCCATGTACCCTTAACTCAGTGGCCCCCATTGGTAACATTTTGCAAACTTGTGGTACAGTATTACAACCAGGATGTGGACATCGGTGCAGTCCATCTTCAGTACAGTCTACCCATCTTACTCAGCTTTCCTGGTTTGTTTTGTTTTTAAGGTTTTATTTATTTATTTTTAGAGGGAGGGAGAAGAACATCAATGTGTGATTGCTTCTCATGCACCCCCTACTGGCACCTGGCCCGAAACCCAGGCCTGTGCCTTGACTGGGAATTGAACCATCAACCCTTTGGTTTGCAAGTTGGCACTCAGTCCACTGAGCCACACCAGCCAGGGCACATTACCGGTTTCATTTGTGTGTGCATTTAGTTGTATGCAAATTAATGATTGTTTTAAATTTACAGAAAAGTTATAAAAATAACAGACTTCCCATATCTCTCTCACACACCATTTCCTGTGATTGACATCTTTATTGTGGTACACTTGTCACAAATAATGGCTGAGCTTGATAAGATTATTATCATGAACTAAACTTTACACTGTATTCACATCATACTAGTTTTCTCCTAATCCTTTTCCCCCTAGCACCCCGTGAAGGATCCTGCATTGTAGTTAGTCACTGTGTCTCAGGCTTCTCAGATGGTGACAGTTTCTCAGACCATCCTTATTTTGATGACTTCAACAGTTTTGAGTAATATTGGTCAGCAATCTTGCAGAATGGCCTTTGATTTGGGTTTTTCTGATGTTTTTCTCATGGTTATGGGGTGAGAAGTAAGGCTGCAGAGGTAAAGTGGCCCTCTCAGGTCTGTCGAGATGATGTAGTGGACAACACTCAGCATCGTTAATGCTAAGCTTGACCACATGGCTGCCAGGTGGCCACACTGAAGGGAAATGAGTTTTCCCAGCATCTCTCCGGGCTGAGTTTGGGGGCAGGGACTGTGCATGGGCACTTAGGGAGTCAGTGGTCCTGCACTACCTCCTTGAGGGCAGAGGGTCTCTACATCAATTACTTGTGATTTTTCTATTGAAGATTCACCCTTTCTCATCCATGCACGTATTCAGTCATTTATATCTGTATGGACTTGTGGATATTTTATACTATAGATTATAATCTAATACTATGTTACTTATTTTGTTGCTCAGATTGTTCTGGGTTTAGCTACTGGGAGCTCTTCCAGGTGGCTTCTGTGTCCCTTTGACACCCTCAACATTTGTGTTTTATTTTCGAGCACTTTTATTTTCTGGATTGCAAGATGTTCAAGGCTCCTCTGGTATATTTTCTGCTTAGACCCTAGAATCTGCTCCAAGGAGCACTGGTTCTTTTTATTGGAGATGGAATTAGAAAATACTCTCTGAGCACGGGCTTGTTAATATTGGGGTTTTGAGCCCTGGCTGGCGTAGCTCAGTGGATTGAGCACGGGCTGCGAACCAAAGTGTCGCAGGTTCGATTCCCAGTCAGGGTACATGCCTGGGTTGCAGGCCATGACCCCTAGCAACTGCACATTGATGTTTCTCTCTCTCTCTCTCTCTCTCTCTCCCCCCTTTCCCTCTCTAAAAAATAAATAAATAAAATCTTTAAAAAATATATTGGGGTTTTGTGGCTTCTTGGTCTTCAGAGACATAGCTGGGAGACAGCTGTGTGCATGCTAACTGTGTATGCACATGTCTATGCAATATGTTCTTAACATCAGGAGGTCCTTGGGAACTGCAACTTGAAGTGAAACAACATTTATTGAAACCAATTTTACCATAGGCTGATTGATATAAACGAGAGTTGAGTTCCTGTGTCATTTGGTCACAAAAACATTGACAAAACTTCTAAATAAAAACCCCAAAACTTTCTCTACACCCTTTTCAGGGAGGTTATGTCATACATTTATAATGCAGTTAGGTTCTGTGTTCATAGCCTGTGTTCTGTCCTGGCACCCTCTGACTGCTTAACTAGTTATTTAAAATTGGCTTATTAAGGTTTGCTTTTATGCTGTAGAGTTGAGTGGGTTTTGACAGATGCATAGTGTCATGCATCTATCACAACATCTACTACACAGAACAGTTTTGCTGCCCAAAAAAATCCCCTACGCCTCCCCTACTCATACTTCTCCAAACCGCTAGAACCCACTACACAGTGGTGCACAGCCCACTACAAATGATAATATGTACAGGCAATATTCTGAGCACTTTAAAAGCATCAATTTACTTATAATTCTCATAACAGCTGTATGAAATAGAAGCATACATATTTTAAAAGTGAGGAAACTAAGGCAAAGGGAAATTACATAACTTGCTCAATGTTGCATGGCCAGGAAGTGGCAGAAGCAGGAGTTGAACCCTGTTACATGTTTTGTAACTGATACTGAGTGAGTCACAGTGTCTGCTGCACTAACCATGGCCACAGCTGAGTGCAAGACTTAAAGAAGTAAACAAGAAGTCGACAGTTGGCTTTGATTATAAGTAAGTCATTCACATCAGTACCTGTTTTCATTAGTACTTGGTAGTACTAATCACCTGCCTGTACAAACATCTTGAGTTTTGTTTTCAAACCTACAAATGTGAATACTGTATTATTTGTGTTATCCAAGGTTAATTCTAGTTTTTGTGCTTTAGCTCCTATGGTAAATGAACTCAGAAGACATATATTATGAAAAGAACTCTTTCTGTAATTTAGTAGTTGCTTATTTTAGGATCTAGAATTATGTTGTCCAGTACAATAGTCACTAGCCAAAAGTGCTATTTAACTTTTAATTAAAATGACACAGAAGTGAAAATCCAATTTCATGGTGGCACTAGCCACATTTTAAGAACTCGATAACCACGTGAGGTTAATGGCTACTCTACATTAAAGTGCAGATACAGAACATTTCCAATATCCTAGAATGTTCTTTTGGGTAGTGCTGATACAGAGAAAACTAATAATACAAGAGACAATGTTGAGATTTTCATGAATATATCAGAGAAAGGCTCCTGTTCTTTATGTTTAGTGCTTATTGCCTGTTGGTTGGCTACTTGATTAATATTAGAGAAGCAGTCTCTTGGCTGTGTAATCCATCATCTCAGGAAACCCTGTTTTTACTGATTGGTGCTAGTCACCTATGGTTGAGAGTCCCAGGTCTGCAAACATATAACAGTCAGCCAGAGGGAGAAGTTAGGTGCTTAATGAATACTTTTTCCCTCCTTACTCTTAGGGATAGCAGGACTTTCTGCTTTGCATTAATTCTCTTTAAATGTGAATTAAGATCATACCCTTTATAACAAACATGCCATAGGATTAGATAGAATTTTGAGCTCTCAGCTCAAATTCTGTCTCTTCCAAATAAACTTAATATGATTTCCTCCAATTCCCCTTAATTAGGTGTGATTGTTCTTAAGTTTCATAGTATTTCATTGTCTCTCTCAGTATACCCAGTTATACCACCTCTGTGTGCTATTATTTTGTGTTAAGGCTTCTTATCCACCCTGTTAAAGAAAGCACACACCTCAATGGATTTTCAGGAAGTGGACAGGCCTGCATCTCCCTAGCCCAGAGGTGAGGGGACAGTCCCCTGCACAGCAGGTGGCATAGACTGTTTGTGTTGACAGTGGCTGTTTTCAGAGGCACTTTGGATTTTACCCTTCCCTTCTGCATACCCTATCTTATAACTTAGTTCGTCTCCCTCTCCCCCCTGAAAAAACTGAAGGGACTTACATACTGTGGGTGGTGTCATCGCAGAGGCTGGACATTCAGTCTGATTGTCTTGGAATTTACAATGAAAATAAATGTGGTTGTCACACTGCTCAGACACTGACATGCCTGCATGTTGTGGGCATGTTAGAATTGTCCCCCACCAAGTTCGTCACTGCTGTGATTAAGATTTTAGGTTCCTGTGGTCTAGTTATGGGCAAAAACTGTTTCTTTTCTTTCTTTTTTTTTTTTTTTTGTTCCTGTATATTCTCTGATTCATGTCCCTGTCTGTTTCTGTAGTTATTGCTTCTAAATTTGCTGTGGCTGGGGAACCTGGATTAAATTTAAAGTGATATCCAGGTTCCAGGCAAAGAGGTTGTGTGTTACTAGCCTGGAATGGGGATGTGGGAGCTGGGGTGGGGGAACAGAACGCAGGCTACTCCCTACAGCTGCAGGTGGTGCCCATCCAAGGAGCTCATGGGTGTCAGTAACTGAGGTTGTGGGCTGTTTTCTTACATGGAGCTAGTGTTGAGCTGAGTGAACTAAGGACCTTTGGAGATAACTGAAAGGATTAACAGAATGCTCTTTCAGCACAATAAGACTTGGAGAGGAAGTCCCCTGCTTTCTTTCCTTCCCATAGCTGTGCCCTTTGCAGATGGATCACTGTACTTCAGTATTTCTCTCTGAGAACTGTCATACCATGTGCTGGTTTTTAATTCTTTTCTCTGAATTTCAGGCCAAGTCGTGCATCTGTCATGTTTGTGGTGTCCACCTGAAGAGGCTTCACTCTTGCCTCCACTGTGTCTTCTTTGGCTGTTTTGCAAAGAAACATATTCATGAACATGCCAAGTCGAAACGGCACAACCTAGGTAAGGCACCCTTTGAATGGTCCCACTGGACATTAGGAGTAGCCATCGCCCCTGATGTTCTGCTCTTTAGATTTGGATTTGCAGTTCCACTCTTCCAAAAGTCCACTTCTTCCATCTAAAACAATTTGTGTCCTCCTTGTGAAACGCCACAGGGGAAATGAAAGGTAAACTGAACTCAAATGGGTTATTTTACCCAGCTTGTCTTACAGCATTTAAGTAGATGTTAATATTTTATGTAACCTTAAATGATAAATTATGGTGGCTTACTTCTTATACTCGGCTTTCTTTGACAAGTGCTTTTTCTTTCATGGAATATTAGGCCCTCATCTTTTCCTCTGACATGGTCAGGAATTAGATTAGGCAAAAATTTACAAAGAAAGATCTTGAATGCAGTATTAGGTTACTGATACTGACATAAAGTTGGATGTACATAGATGGCTTTTTTGCTTTCAGTAATGACTTTTTTTATTCTGAATAATACAAGCTCATGAAAATCCTAACAACACTTTGTGTGGCATCAAGATAAATTTACCTTTCATATACCTGAAAATTTAACTCATACATTCTGGGAATCAACATAAAGCACAGTTCTTCTGCTTTTAGCTTTGTTTTCTCAGCAGGTCATTAAATGTTTTCTACCTTCAGATTAATTGTGTTTTCTCTTAAGTGATTGTGAGATTGTTATGATATCTGGAAGAAATTCACTTTCAAAAGGTACAAGCCAGAGAACCTATTCCAAAAATACCTCTCATAGCCCTGGGAGGTGTGGCTCAGTTGGGTGGAGCATCATCCTGTGAGTGAAAGGTTGTAGGTTCTATTCCCAGCCAGGGTGCAGGCCTAGGGTGTGGGTTGGATCCTCCAGCCTCTATCCTTGGTCTGGATTTGGGCACATATGGGAGGCAGCCAGTTGATACTTTAGTCTCCCATGGATGTTTCTCTCTCCCTTCCTCTCTCTCTAAAAGCAGTGGGGAAAAAAATGTCTTCGAGATGAGGATTAAAGAAAAGAAAGAAAGAAAATACTTCATGTAGCACTATTGAAAATGGTATTCCCCAAGTTTGTAAAATTAGTGCATTAATCCATGTCTTTTAGAGCTCCCTATAAGCAGAGCACATAGCAAAAGATAAAGCCGAGATTGACAGAAGCAGTATGTCTGTTTTTTTCCTAATGTGTTTTTAAGAAGCAAGATGATTTAAGTCAAAACAAATACCTATTGTAGGTGTGTTCATGAACCAGATGTTTTACTACGAACACATGGAAGCTGGCACCTCAATATCATGCTGTTTGCAATAGCTACAATTGCAGTGGAAAAAGAATAGAGAACCCAGAGTAAACCCCACATCTATATGGTCAATTAATCTACGACAAAGGATGTAAGAACATACAATGTGGTAAAGATAGTTTCCTCAATAATGGTGTTAGGAAAAATTAGATATATGCAAAAAAATAAAACTAAACTACCTTATTGTTGGGAACGGCCCTGCCTGGTATCAGAAGCTGTAACCCCCACCAAGGCTAAGGCTGAGGGAACAACCTTGGACCATAAGCCATCAAGGAGACAAAAGCTTATCTCCCTGGCAGGAGCACCGCTTCTGCTCCTTTTACTTCACCCAGACTGGCCCCCAATGCTTGGCCGGTTAGCCAATGACAGGTAAGATTCGCCATAGAGGGAACAACCTAAGGTCATGTGGGAGGCCCCCAAGAAAGGACTTTGGGGGCTACAGCAAAAGGGGGTGATGGACCCTTGCCCCTCGGCTTTGACAAAGCCTAAGTCCTTATTGTTTGTGAGAAAATCTCCTTATATCTTGGTTGCCTTACTTCCCTTGCTCCACCTAAGCCTGAAACAATGACAGAGGGTGGTGCAGTCCTGTGCTGGAAAGGGCAGGTTCCCCAGGTGATCAGGCCTAAGAAAGAATATGTAAAATCCTATGAAACCTGCTTTGTTTAGAATGCTCTCAGTTGAATGATAAGGGTCCAGGGAAGAAGTAAGTTTGTTCCTTAAAGTTTTACAGCTGTTTGACTGACTCAAAATAGGCCCTCAGAGTTCCTTGTTATCTATTGTTTGACCCATACTTCCGGGCAATGAGTAAGGAGCTTCACCTGAATTCCTGTGTAAACGAACCTAATAAAAGCCATTGAGGAAAAGGCTCTTGGCTCTTCTCCTGTGAGAGATCGGCCACCTTTCCTCCCCAAGCAGATCATGTCTTGGTAGACTTACTCTCATCCATGGTGGCCAGGGGGGCCCTGTTGGCAACCCCCCCCACACCTTACACCATACACAAGCATAAACTCACAATGGACTGAAGACTTAAATGTAATACTTGAAGAAACCGTAGGCAGTAAAAATCTGACATTTAGCAATATATTTTCTGATATATCTCTTTGGGCAAAAAGAAAAAAAGGGGACTACATCAAAGAAAAATTTTGGCACAGCAAAGGAAGCCAACAACAGAACCTCAAGGCAGTTCTGGCTGGCGTGGCTCAGTGGATTGAGTGCGGCCTGCAAATCAAAGGGTCGCTGGTTCGATTGCCAGTCGGGCACATGCCTGGGTTGCAGGCCAGATCACCAAGGGGCACATGAGAGACAACCACACATTGATGTTTTTCTCCCTTTACTTCTTCCTCCCTTCCCCTCTCTCTAGAAAAAAAAAAAAATAAGTAAAATCTTAAAAAAAAAAGCCCTAAAGACATCCTTACTGGATAAAAGAAGGTATTTGCCAATGATGCATCCAATAAGGGGTTAGTATTGAAAATTTATAAAGAACTGAGACAACTCAACACCAAAACAAAACAAAACAAAGCAAAAAAAAAACTATTAAAAGTAGGCAGAGGACCTGAATAGACACTTCTCCAAAAACAACATACACGTGGCCAATAGACATGAAAAGATGCTCAGACATCAGTAATCACCAGAAAGAAGCAAATTAAAACCACAATGAGATATCACTTCATACCTGTCAGAATGGCTAGCATCAGTAAATCAAACGAGTGCTGGTGAGGATGTGGGGGGAGGGGAACCCTTGTGCTCTGTTGGTTGGAATGCAGACTTGTACAGCCACTGTGGAAAACAATGTGGAGTTACCTCAAAAAAAATGAGTCTGCCTTATGACCTGGCAATTCCACTCCTGGGTTTTTATCAAACAATCCCAAAACACTAATTTGAAAGAATACATGCACCCTATGTTCACTGCAGCATTGTTTTCAATTGCCAAGATTTGGAAGCAACCCAAATACCCATCTGTAGATGAGTGGATAGTGAAGCTGTGGTACAGTTAAACAGTAGAATACTACTTAGTGGTTAAAAAAGAATGAAATCTTACCTATTGTGACAGCATGGATGGACTTAGAGGGAATTATGCTAAAGTGAAATCAGTCAGAGAAAGACAAATACTGTGTGATTTCACGTATATGTGGAATATAAAGAACAAAATAAACAAAACAGACTTACAGACACAGAACAGATTGATATTTGCCAGAGAGGAGGAGGGTCAAGGGGCTAGGCAAAAATGGTAAAGGGATTAAGAAATACAAATTGGTAATTACAGAATAGTCATGGAGATCTATAGTACAACATAGGGAATGTAGTCAACAGTATTATAGTTACCATGTATGGTGTCAGGTGAGTTCTTGAAATATCAGTGGGCCCCTGGCTGGTGTGGCTCAGTGAATTGTGTACGGGCCTGCTAACCAAATGGCCACTGATTGGATTCCCAGTCAGGGCACATGCCTGAGTTGCTGGTGAGGTCCCCAGTAAAGGGGAGCATGAGAGGTAACCACACATTGATGTTTCTCTCCCTCTTTCTCCCTTCCTTCCCCTCTCTCTAAAATGAAATGAAATCTTAAAAAAAATTGGGGAATACTGAAAAATATGATTGTATAATTGCTATGCTGTACACCTGAAACAAAAAGAAAATATTGAAGGTAGATTGTAATTGAAAAATAAAATTTAAAAGTTCACTTCAGTAATTTATGATATTAATTCATTTCATCAACCTGATTGATGACTCTGCCTCTACTTTTGCTAGAAAAAAGTTTTTATGAAGTTTGATGTAAGAAACAAGTTATGAAATGAAAGAAAGATCTTGCTCTTTTTTGAGTCCATGATATTGAAGACTTTGTGTAAGTGCTAACAAAGCAGGAATTAGTTTTGTGTCCAGGTGGTGAGGAGGGCTGAGGTGCATCTTGCCTGAATGTTGGGGGTGGTGCATCTGCGAACAATGTAAGTAGCAATGGGGTGGTTGTGGAAGGTTAGGCAGGGATAAGAATGATTTGGTGGCAGTCTCATGAGGCAGTCTTCCTTTGTCCATCCTGCCCTGTAAAATTGCCATAATGAGATAAAAATGCATCCACACAAAAAAAGCATTCTACGTTGGTGTAGTCAGTCAGATTTGCTCATATATGGAGTGGGGCAACAAGAGGTATACAGTTTTGAGTGCACAAAACACAGAGTGTATTCTTGTATTACTGTTTAATGATTGTATTTTCCATGCAACAGCTGTCAACCCACTTCATCTGTACTGGTAGACAGCCTGACCTGAGTGTTGGAGTCCTGGGAGCTGAGGGGGAGAGTGAGATAACTTGGAGCTGTTTGATTTCAGACTTTTTAGTTTCATACAGTTTTTGTCTTATGTTGAGCTACAGGGGTACTTGGATTCTGCCTGTGGGAGCCACATACAGTGTGGAAGTAATGCCTTTAGCTCGTTCTGTGCATCTTAGAAGAATGCAGTGGGTGGTGCAGGACATCAGCTCACCTCTGAGCTGATGATGTTTTCCTTCCATTCCCAAGGGCACCTTGTGACCAGAGGGAGAAAGACCTGCCCACCCAGGGTGCCTGTGTCCACTGGTGGCTTGGAACTTGCCAAAGAAGCTACTGCACAAAAACAAAGCCAGCACAAAGCCCCTACACCGCAGGGCCCTTCTCCAGCTCATTCCTCCCTTCTCCAGGGGGCTCGACTGCTGTACATCAGCTCCTGGGCTTCATGTGGTCAGGGCTTTGTCCTTGGAATAGATACTATGACTGAAATAATTTTCCAAGTTAACTATATTGAATGTATGTGTTGCTTTCAGTTTTTAAATTTTATATTGAAGTGAGATGTGCAAACATACAGTTAAACATTTTAGCTATTTATGATGTATAACCATTATCTCTACTTTTAAAACTTCATCCCCAGGCTCTTCCCTCCCCCAGCCCCTGACAACCATTAATCTGCTTTTTGTCTCTATAAAAATACCCTGAACATTGTATTTAAAAGGGATCATACACTATGTGACCTTTTGTTTTCGAGGTCCATCCCTGCTATAGCGTGTGTCAGTGTGTTGTTCCCTGTGTGGCCAAAGGAGGTCCCTTTGCATGGCTCTTTGGAGATGTACCACATTTTGTTTGCTCATCCATTGATAGTTGGATTGTTTTCTACTTTTTGGTTCTCATAAATAATGCCGTTATAAGCATTCGTGTGAAACTTTCTACGTGGATGTATGTTTCTTTTGTTTATGTACCTGAGAGTGAAATGGCATATTCTGCTGGGTTGTGAGCCCTTAGCAGGTAGATGGTTTGCAGATATTTTATACTACCCTATAGGTTCCCCTTTCACTTTCTTAATGTCTTCAGATGCACAAACTTATACATTTTGATGAAGTCTATTTTATCTTTTTTTTTTCTTTTTTGTGCTTGTGCTTTTGATATTAAATATAGCAGGCAGCCCATTGCTAGACCGGAGGTCATGAAAAGTTATTCCTGTTTTGTTCTTAGAGTTTTATACTTTAGCTCTTATATTTAGGTCATTGATGCATTTTGAGTTAGTTTTTGTTACATAGAGTCAGGTAAGGGTCCAGCTTCCATCTTTTGCATGCAGATGATGCGTTGTCCCAACACTATTTGTCGGAAGCACTGTCCTTTCCCACTGTTGATCCCCGTTGATGTCACCGGTTTTGTACAGTGATGAAGTGATGCCGTGGGAAAGTGCTACAAAAGGGACTCTTGGAGGGACTTGAACATGCACCTTCCCAGGCTGGTGGTTTTGCTGTTGGCTGTACATTCAGCATATTTTAAAATGGCATTCACTGAATACCTTTGTTTCTCTGAAAATTTTCATTTGTGTGAGAACGTGTGGTGCCAAAGGGCAGCTGGCTGAGCTCTTGGGAACAGCTGTGGCAGAGTTTGTAGGGGTTTCTCAGTTTCTTGGGAGGGGTAAAGGGTAAGCAAGCATGAGATTCTTAACTTGCTATTTCATGTTTTCAAAGATCTGTTTTAGAGGACTTTACAGATCCACCACGATAGTACTGACCTGTGTTATGCTACCTGAAGACACGAGATAGGGGAAAGCTGGTGTTTATTAAGATATTACTGTTTACCAGCATGTGTGCTGTGCTTACATGTACTAATTTAACTATCGTAGAAAACTGGGACGTGTCAGTACTGTTACTGTTACCACCAGAACCGACATGCGGGAATGGAGGCATTTATTGGAGGCATATGGCTGCTGAGTGGTGGAGTGAGGTCAGTACCAGTCACTCCAGAGGTGTGCGCTGTCTCCTCTGTGCTGCACACCCGAGGTGCCTGGTGTCTCCAGGACAAACAATTCTTTTTAGTTGAATTGAAATAATACCTTTCTTCCATTGCTCAAAGGACTTTATCTCCTATATCTTTATAATGATGGAATTAGGAGTCAGGTGTCACCATGTCGTATAGATGTTGAGAAAGGATGCAGGACCCACTCACAGGTGGGTAATAGGCAGCTCAGGGTCAAGAAGTCGGATTATCTGGTGAAAGGATAATTTCTGCTATTTTAAAGTAAGAATAGCTCTGTCTGGGTGGTGCAGTTGGTTGGAGCATTGGCTCATACACCAAAAGATTGCAGATTCAATTCCTGGTTGGGGCACATACATGGGACAACCAATCGATGTTTCTCTCATATCAGTGCTTCTCTCTCTCTCCCTCTTTCTCTCTCTCTCTCTCTTTCTCTCTCTCTCTCTCTCTCTCAGCAATAAAAAAATGTCCTCAGGTGAGGGTTGAAAAAATTAAGAGTAAGCAAATAATTATTGCATTCTTTTTGTAATGGTACCAGAAATTCTCAGTGTAGTAAAATGTGGTTCCTCTATATCAGGCCAAGATTTCTCATTTAAAACAAGGGGAAACTTGTTTTAAATATTGCTCTTTCAGAGAAAAGGCAGAGGGTCTCCAGCTACTTGACTCTTAGGTCCTTTATAAAATACAAATATGGCACCTTGTTCTCACCCTGATGCCTTGGCCTTTGGTGGGAGCTTCCAGAGAAAAGACCTCATGTGCATGGGGCAGACGAGTGGGAGCGAACCCTTTTGTGCTAACAGGGTTCTGCGATGTGAGAGCAGGGAAATGCTATAAAGAGTCTTGTCTAAAAAACTTGTGTATCTGATTTGTGTTCTTAAGCATTACCTTTTCATTTTTAATTATGTTTTGTCTCTTTCTTCCTTTGTCTTTTCAGCCATAGAACTGATGTATGGAGGCATCTACTGCTTTTTATGCCAGGACTACATCTATGACAAAGACATGGAAATCATTGCCAAAGAGGAACGACAGAGAGCTGGGAAAATGCAAGGTGTGGGCTTGCCTATATTCACCTGCCACCTGCCTCATTTGTTCCTTAGTCCCGATTCCCTCATGTCTTTTGAGGGCAGACTCACCGAAAGACTCATCTAGGGAGACAATTAGTGTAGGGAGACAGTTGGTGTAGGGGGATGGTAGGAGACAGCTGGATATTTGCTATTTAGTGGAAAGATACCCCCATGTGCATGTGCGCGCGCGCACACACACACACACACACACACACACACACACCCACCCCCCCCCCACCCCCCCCATGTGCTTCCTCCTGTGGAGCCAGCCTAGGATCCAGGACAGGCAGGTGGGAGGACTGGCCGTGCAGGTGCAAACGCCCATCACTTCCTGCAGCTTCCCAGAGCTGTCCTTTGCCCCAGGTCTTGCAAGGGCCCCTGCAAGGGCCTATGGCTGCTGTGAGGGTCTCCACTGGGGTGGAGAAAAAACATGCCCCAACATTGATGTTCTCCCATCTAAGGGTCTGTTCATAGGTATCACACTAGTAAGGCCATGTCCCCAGGTGGCCCCTGATGAGTAGTTTGCTCTTAGTTCTCCAGTGTTCCAGAAAGCAGCATTTCTTCAGCAATATTAAAGTGTGTGTGTACCTGGTTCCTTCCAGGAGGGCAGGCTGTTTTCTGATGACATTATTATAGAATCTCTTTTCAAGCTCTTAACCATTTGGGTCATGTTCGATCTGTGTTAACAGAGACTTAAAATTGCCAGATGGAGAGTGTAATGACCTGTGCAGACAGCCCCCTCATGTGGGACTCGGCTCTCCTGTGCAGTGCCTTGTGGCCCTAGTGCCCCCACAGGCTCCTCCTTTCCTGCCTTCCATCCACATGAACGCTGTCTTCATCGGGATGCACAGACATTCTGCATCCATTCTCTTTATTGTTCATTCATTTCTTTTCGGCAACCCTGATGTGCCCCCTCTTTTAGTTTCCATCTCCCACATATGCCCGTGCTGTTAGGACAGTGGAGGGTGCAGCTCCCCTACTTAACTGGGGGCATCTCTCAACCAGCAGAGCCCTTAGTGTTTACAAAGAGACTTACAACCCAGCCTCTGCTTCTGCTTTAGAAACAGCCCCATTTTTTTGAGAGAGAGAAGGAATTAAAACAGTTGTGATCAGAGTTACTGCTGTTTAACAAATCTTTTCTGGAGAACAAGGAGTTTAACCCCTGTTCTTTCCCCCTCAAAAATTTAGGAACATTGCCCTGGCTGGGTGGCTCAGTTGTAGGGTTGTCCCATAAACTGAAAAGTTGTGGGTTCGATCCCTAGGTGGGGGTACGTACAGGAGGAAACCAGTTGTTGTTTCTCTGTCCCCTTCCCATCTTTCTAAAGTCAATAAGCATGTTGTTGAGTAAGGATTTTTTTTAAATGTAGTAACATTGCCACTGAGTCTGAGTGTCCTGTTCCTTTGGGCAGAACACCTAAAGCACAGGGCTGAGAGATGCAGGTGCTGAAGTAAAGCAGAATTCTTCTAATATCTTTCTGCAGTTCCACCTGTGAGCAGATGGTACTCTGATAAAGCTTATTGAATTATAGACATTTTCAGTAGCATGGAACAAGTGCCTTGGCGTGAATTGTGTGTTTAGTAGGGTGAAATGTGACACTTACTAGCATTTATAGCATTATTGTGTTTCATTTCCATTTTTTATGGGCACATCTATTCAACAAGATGTACTTTTCAAAATATATTTGAAAAAATACATTTTCTGTCTGTCAGTGTTGCTTATTCACCAGAGATTCCTTCTAAGGGTGCCGAGGCCGCAGTCTCTCTGTCTTCACGATTGAGACTTTGGGAAGCAGCCACCACAGCATCATGGTCAGGGCAGCAATAGTTGCAGGTGTTGCCTTGCTTCTTGAAGGGAACAGTGTGGCTGTAGCACAGTCTCTGCTCAGCCTGCTGCATCATCATAGGGTTTTAGAAGCACTTTATGCTATGGGTGCACCTCTGAAAGACAGCCCTGTGAGTAGTAGTGCATTGCTACCACCATCTGTGACACAGGATGCAAATGTAGCTAACAACACCTGGACCTGGTTTTCATCTGTTTAGGTGTTGGAGAGAAGTTTTCAACGTGGGAACCAAGCAAACGTGAGCTTGAACTGCTAAAGCATAACCCGAAAAGGCGAAAGATCACTTCCAACTGCACCATAGGTAGGTGGGTGACGGTGCTTGGAGTGGTGGCCTGTTTTCTCTCCACGTCAGGCTTGCTTCTTAGTGTTTCAAGTTTGTAGATGTAAAAATGTGGGTTTCATAACATAGTACTTTAAGTCCCAGAGTAACTCTGCTTCATCCTTGTGCTCACTGCCCACTTCTTGAGCATCTGCGCTCTGTGGGGACCTGTTACGGCTTGGGGGGTGGTGCCAGGTGGAGAGGGAGGGTCCTTGCCCTACAGAGCCCACCTGTGTACAAGGCTTAGGGCCTCTCGCCAGGTGGAGTTGCGTGCAGTTGTCTCCAGGGGGTGAAATGAGTGTGTGAGTGTGTCCTCTGGGTTTCCTGAGACTTGAAGGAATACATTTTATAAACATTTTTAAAAGCTAGTTTTGTTATTAGAAGGGCCCCATTCTGACCTGTCCTGTTGCCTGTGGTTAAAGAATTCTTTGGGTAATTTAATCAGAACATTACATATAATGGCTGAATGGCAGGGGGAGGGTGGGGCATGAGGCCAGGGAAGTGATGGTGATGAAAGAGGTTCAGTCTCGTTCATTTAAAAGTGGCATAAAAATGTCAAACACATTGACATTTCTTTCTGCTCTTTTCCTCTTGAATCAGTATGCGAAAACACACAGACACGTCACTGTCCGGCACTGCTGCGATCCCGTCGGGGTCCAGCCGTGCCTGTGGGTCGGGCCCCAGTCACCCCTCTGCCTTCTGCCCTCCCAGGTCTGCGAGGGCTCATCAACCTGGGGAACACGTGCTTCATGAATTGCATTGTCCAGGCCCTCACGCACACCCCGCTGTTGCGAGACTTCTTCCTCTCCGACCGGCACCGCTGTGAGATGCAGAGCCCCAGCTCCTGCCTGGTCTGTGAGATGTCATCCCTTTTCCAGGAGGTGAGCACCACCAAACTTGGGCTGTGTCATGTTTCTGTCACTACATTTTTTCTTTTCCTTTTTAAAAAATAGAATAAGTTGACTGCGATATATAATAAAGGAAGGCAAATTTCTAAAACCTGACATAATGAGTAAGTTTTCACTGTATGCTTTTATTATAGAAGATTCAAATTTTTCCAAAGAGGCAACATGAGGTAGGAGACTCTTGACATCATTTTTCGAGGCACGGAGCTGACTGAGAGGAGGAGGAAGAACCTCAGAGAGTGGCACAGCCAGTGGTTGGTGTTGGGCTGTGATGCTGTGGGAGACCGGCCTCCCCTGCAGTCTGCCATTGGACTCCCAGGAGGTGTGGGGACATGCGTGCGCTGCTCCCCATTCTGTTTCTTGGGACCGTGGGTCTCTTCTAGTGCTACACCTTGTGGGTGTGCTTCCCCAGACCTGTCTGTGACCCTGTGTCTCAAGCATCAGGGTCTGCTTCCCTGGTTGGATTGTAGGTCACACTCATGTCTGTCCTCTCCATGTCTGTCCCTGATCATGATGGCTCAAGCACCCTCAAGTTGGGCCCTCTGCACTCTACTCGGTGGCCACAGAAAAACCTCTCAGAGCTGAGGCAGTCCAGCAACCCCACCCACAAAGTGGGGCTGTTGCCTGTTGCACAGGCTGCTGGGACATCCCAGATGTCCTTCAGGTATCAGGCACAGAAACTGCAGGCACGTGCCATCTGTATCAGTGACCTTTGAGAGCTGCAGGCCAGAGTCACTTGCTGTCTGGCCTATTTCAGAAAAAGTTTGCTCACATCTGGTCTAGCCTGACCCAGTGTCTTCATGTTCACAGCATGCCAGTAGCTGCTGGGGTCACAGCAGTGAGCAAACTGAATAGAATCATTGGACCCAAACAGGAGAAAGGCAGGTGCAATTGTGTGTCACTTCCTCTCTTGGATTTCAGCCATTTTCCCTGGGCACTGATAGGTGATAAATACAGATAGGCTTGGGTTTGTTAAGGTACATTTGAAAACAGCAGAATTCACCTTTTAGTGTATCATCTGTTTTTCTTAACAAACACATCATAATTCATCATCTAAGCTTATCGTAGAAAACTAGATGGTAGGAAGGGAGAAAATGGATATGCAGACTCAAAGTCTCATGAGTCCAAATTTTAGGCAGCTGTGAAGTATTTTTGTGCATGTGTGCTTTGTGTTCAGAGTGTAGCATATATGCCTGACCAGGGATTTTGTTTCCCTTCTCTCTCTCTGAGCAGTTTTACTCTGGGCACCGATCACCCCACATCCCGTACAAGCTCCTGCACCTGGTGTGGACTCACGCACGGCACCTGGCAGGGTACGAGCAGCAGGATGCCCATGAGTTCCTCATCGCAGCTCTGGACGTCCTGCATCGGCACTGCAAAGGTGTGGGCTGGTACCTCATGCCATTGCAGGGGGAGGGCATGTGGGCACACTCCTGCAAACCAAGACAAGTTCGCTTGAGACCGTTTGATTTGCATTCTCATGGTATTTTTCCCCCAATAAGAAAAACAGTGGAAATATCCTAAATAGGTTCTTTATAGCTTGTTTTTACAAGAGGAGAAAATAATCTTTAGTTTGTTTTCCAACCTTCCTGGGACTAGAGAAACATAGCCATCGGCCCTCGCAGACTGTGCAGCGGGCTGTAAGCTCTGCGCCCTAACGTGCCTGGGCCCCAGTCCTCTGGGCGTCAGGTGCATTTTGGTGCCAAGAAAGAAGCTAAGGATATTTTCCTAGGGAGTGGGAAAGACAAAATTGAAAATAAAACAGACCGGCTTGGTCATCCCCCTTTCCCCACCATGTCTGTCTTGAATATGAAGTATTTTCTGTGGCCCTTCGGAGAGTGTTGGCACTTCTGACTTCATGGTGCTTCTGTGCTTGAATGGCCTGGTCTCCTGGGTCTCTGGCTCTTGGAAACTTGTTGACTTTGGGTGGGAGGGCAGGAGCGGGGCACAGATGTGAATCACAGAGGTCTGGTCTTTCCCCAGGTGATGACAATGGGAAGAAGGCCAACAACCCCAACCACTGCAACTGCATCATAGACCAAATCTTCACAGGGGGACTGCAGTCGGATGTCACCTGCCAAGTCTGCCAGTAAGTGGAGGCTTTCCACTGGACATGGAGTATTCTGGAAGGCCAAGTACCTTTTAGGCCCTGCTGACCAGATCATAATGGGGGAGCCCAGGTGCTTTCAGGGAAACTGACTTCACTGATGCTGCTTACTGACATGGTACCTTTTTAATCTGTAGACTGTTGTGTTCTGAGAAGTTTTCAAATTTTTAGATTCCTGGACTGTAATATATAGTCAGTGCCACCCCAGTAATGCTTTCTTGGTGACATGGGGCTGATGGTGGAGCAGCTGATTGCTGCACAGCCGGGTGAGAAGCAGGAAGTTTTATTTAGATAGACATTGACATGTGTTGGGATGAAATAACCCCACCAGAAAGGGCATGAGAAATGAGCAGGTCGCCCTGAGTGTGAAGAACATTAGGGCAATGTCCTCCCTGGGGCTGCAAGGCTTCAGGTGTGGCCACCTGTTACTGTCCTCATCTCTGCTTTCCTTCAGGCCCCTGAAACTAGGAGTCAAAAAAAGAGCCCCCTTCAAAGACTGGGCCACACAGGGCAGATGCTTGATCAAGGCTCCAAAGTGTGTTAGTTTGAAGTATTTCACACTCTCCTTTTCCACTTTCTCTCACGCAGTGTCCCTAAATTCTCTACAGGTTTCAGTTCCTTGGTTAGAGCTCAAAGCCTTCATTTCCCAGGGTCGAGTGCATTGGTAGGGAGGTTAGAACCCTTTCATTCACCCAGTGCATTCCCACGTTTTTATTTCCCTTCAACTTTTTTTAAGACCCTGGTCATGATCCACTAAAATTTAAAACCTATAGTGGATTACCACTTGCAGTTTGTACAGGACAGACCAGACAGTGGAAGAGTCGGCTTTGCCTGCAAGTGTTACAAGTGCAATTTTCTATCTGTTCTCATGGGCCACCACACTAAGCACTTTACACTCATGGCTTTAAGTAGCTGCTTCTTTGGTCCCATACCATTGAAGTTCACCAGCAAGAGATTGTGTCACATTTATATTGTTTAATTTCCATAGTAAATTTCCTAGTCTGTGAGTTTCCTGTTGGTATATTTTAAAATAAATCTCCAGAAAGGAATTGGCTTTGGTAGATAAGACTTTAAATGCTGCTGTTCACCTTGGGGTACTGAGCAGTTGGTGCCTGCTCTCTGTGTGACACATGCTTGGAGGTCTGAGTCATGGCCAGGGCTTTGCAGTTCTCAGGTCTCTAATGCTGCTGACATGGAGCCATTCATTCAGAGCCACCAGACGTGGGGCCCAGAAAAAGTCCTGAAATGATTGTGCCAGTCTTCTAGGTGTAGAGACCACTGCCTCAGAAGCAGCCTTGGCCTGTGTGGTTTGCATGGTGTCCCTCCCTGGGGCCTGGAGGCCCAAGGTGCACTGGGTGTGAGCACACATTTTTTTGGCCTGAGATGCCATTTGGGAAAAGGGCAGAGCTGTCTGTGACCCGAGTGCTGAGATACAGCCCTTGAAGTGGTGCCCCTGAGGCTGTGGTTGACTATCAGTTCTCATGCATGTCTCTGTCTTCTTTTGCTTCTAGTGGGGTCTCTACCACAATAGACCCCTTCTGGGACATCAGTTTAGATCTGCCCGGCTCTTCCACTCCATTCTGGCCCCTGAGCCCAGGCAGTGAGGGCAGTGTGGTGAACGGGGACAGCCACGCGTCAGGAACCACAACATTGACAGACTGCTTGAGAAGGTAAGAAATGTGCCAGCACTTCTACAGAAAAATTAAGTGCTTTCCTTGCAGGTAGTTGTCTCCTGGCCTTGAGACTGCTTAGTAGTGGTTGGTCAGAGTAAAGCCCTAATAAACTTAGGGCCACCCAGGGTCCCAGCACTGTTTACTTTTACACGTTCAATATGGAACATGAGAAAACATAGGCCAACCTGCAAACAGCTACTGTTGGTGCCCAGTGACTTCTACTAGTTTGTCACATTATTTTGCAAGGTGACTGGATATTCTGTCCACCTAGCTTTGCATTGTAGGATGTCGCATCACAGCTACTATTCCATCCCACCCCCAGTGTAAGTTAACAGACAGCAAAAGGTAAAGGTCCTGCACCTTTTGTGGCAAATAACCTGTATTAGAGTACATCGGCCCCTCTTGCTGAGGCTTGTGGTTTTCTCTTCAGGTGATGAAAACACATCTGTGACCTTCTGTCTGAATTTACACTCATTTACTGCATTATCAATTTAGATAAGCCGTGAGATTGAGGGCACAGTTGCTATAAAACATATTTCAATAGCTGTTACATACAAATACGGCAAGGCCAGAAACCCTTCCTAAACTATATTTAGTGTTTTACAATTTTTATTTTCTTTTACTCGCATTAACTCAAGGTCACTGCAGACGTGTTCTTGTTAGGTAAAAGTGTTTCTTATGAAGAGGAACAAGCTTCTTAGTTTTTACCTTGCTGCCCAGTCAGCAGACTGAAAAAGTGCATGTTTAGAATTTTAAAATTAATTTTGTTTACTGACAGATCCAGATATATTGGGTTGTCCAAAAAGTCCATATTTTTTTCCATTAAATAAAAGACACATTTTTTCATTTTCAGCAGTAACTTCATTGATTTGGGTATTTTGAATATGTTAGCTATCTTCCACATGGTATAATGTTCACTGTTCTCAGTTAATGTCTCAATTTGATCACTGTCAACTTCACCTGGTCGACCCGACTGTGGAACATCATCCAATGAGAAATCTCCAGCATGAAACTTCACAAACCACTTTTGACACACTTGATCAGTCACAGCACCTTCTCCCTACACTGCACAAATCTCTTTGTGTTTCAGTTGCATTTTCTTGAAATAATAAAGCATAATATGCTGGAAATGTTGCATATTTCCTTCCATCTTCAGTACTAAAATTGGCTATACCAAAAATTCACCAGTTTTCGTAAGTTCTTTTTTAAATGCACGCTGATATGACAGCTATCAGAATACAGTCTTAACAAAATCGTTTTCGATAAAGTTGAAGACAACTAAGCGCTACTAGAGCCATCTTAAGGGAGAAAAAAAACAAATGGAGTTTTTGGCCAACCCAATATATTGAGTTATCAGATTTTTAACTTGGAAAACAAACATAAGTAATCTTCTGATTTTTCATGACAGCATTTACAACAAAATTAAATGTCATGGTAAGTTTCAATAAAATTGAAACTTTGCTCACAGCAGACAATAAGGGAGAAAACACACTTTATCAAACTAAAGTCCATGGGAAGCTCTGTGTCAGGGCTCAAGTGTCTGAGAAAAGATATTTTGTCTAACTCTAGTTTCCCTTTTCAAGTTATATTGAGAGTAGATCACAAAGCTGGTGGAAGTACATGTGATTTTGCCCTGGCTCCATTGGTTAGAGCAGCATCCCACACATCTGGCCAGGGCATGTAGCTAGGTTATGGGTTAGATCCCCAGTCAGAGAGTGTACGGGAGGCAGCTGATCACTGTTTCTCTTTCACATCGATGTCTCGCCCCCCTCCCCCGCCCCCCCAGTCTCTCTCAAATCACTGAACATATCCTCTAGTGAGGATTTAAAAGTAAGGTACATGTGATTTTTAGCTCTAGACCACTCAGGTTTTCAAGTGTTTCATAAGAACTGCAAGTGGCCAAGTGGCTGTCATGCTGGCAGCACCATGCAGGACAGTCGAGTTGTGAGCCTTGAGTCCTTCGTGGAGGAGTTGCCTCAGCTGGACATGCTTGCCTTCTTAGGAACAGGGCAGCACCCCTCAGAGCCGCTTGCTTCTCTGACTGAGGCTTCCATGGACCTCATGCTGCACCCTTGGCTCTCTGTTGTCTTATTACTATTTCAACTTGTGTACATTGGTATGTTGTATTTTCTCCATTCAGATTGAAATGCAGCCCCTTTGGGGGAGGGGACTGCTTCCCTCTGTCTCTGTGTCTCCACAGCACTAGTGTGCTGCTGGGCATCTGGTAGATGTGGTGAGTGAGTGCCTTTGCCCTGTCATAGTTCTGCAAGGTTACAAATGGCAGGTGCGCACTCTGATGAAATGAAGCAGGTGAGGACATGGGGTAGTTCATAGAATCCATGGGAAGGCTGAGAACATGGCTCAGCAAACAGGTCATAACCATGGGAGGGGTGGGACCACCATCCAGAAGTATGCAGCCCACCACTGCCTGTCCCCTGTCCCCCAGTGCAGTGAGAGTGCTGCTCCCCTAAAGACAAGTTTTCCCACATCTGTCTCTCTAGAATAATTGTTCCAGGTGCAAAGTCCCCGTAAGGACTGTGCATCTGACAGAGCCAAGTTTGGTGCCCATGTTGCTGGGGGTGGGTAGAGCACATACTGGCTGGTGTGGTCCACTTTGGTGGCTCCCAGCTAGGGTGGAAGATTCCCCAAATGGGAAAGGTGAGGCAGGGGTAGATACTCAAGAAGGTATGTAAATCGGGCTCTGTTTATCTTATATAATTTCTTAATTTCTGACTACAGGGAATTTGAAGTCAAATTCTCTTCATTCTGACACTGTGGGACTTGTTTGGAACTTTTTTCTTTTTGGTGCTGAAGCAGGTTTGGCGGGTTGAGGTTAACATAGTTTGGCTGAGATGACAAGAGTTTGGGGTCATGTGAACTTGTGGGCACTACATGTGGAAAGAAAAATGACAAATTATGAGAAACTTCTAGATGAATAAAAAGTTAGAAAACTTCAAAAGATGACTTTTAGCTGCTGAGCATTTTGCACTGGCTTGGTATAAAATTTTTTAAATGTATAATCACAAGGAAGAGTGTGCTTATTGATTGGTTGCTTAATTGAGAATAGTTAGCAAAACAAATGTAATTGGCAGGAAGTATGTGAATCAAAATTCAAGGGTAATTAGGGTATTTACACCCCCAGTCTGACTTCACAAGCTTGAACCTATTCTAAAAGGAGTTCTGAAGCAGGTCTCTGGGCTGTTTCACCTGTTCTCTGGGGAGAAAGGCACGTGGGGCTCCTTGATGGAGCTGTTCCTGGCAGCCAGGCACAAGGCTTGGGAAGTGTGTTGCCTCAGATGCTTGCCTTCTACCTTCTGTCCACTGCTAAGAGCTGCTCGAGGGGCAGCAGAGTCCTGTGCTTAATTTTAGCCAGAGGTTGGCATTGGACTTTGGCTTCTAAAATTGTTTTTCCCTCTGTGCACAGTCCTTTTGCCGGATAATGATCCCTTGCTTGAGGACTTGCCAACCAAGGTGGGCCCTGGGAGCTTGCTGAGATCGCGGAAGAGCAAGTGTTAACTGAGAAGTTCCTGGCTGTGGTTGGGGTGGGGTGGAACTGTGTTTTTGGCTGGCAAATTGGAGGAGGGAATCATGTTGTGGCCGCTCTGTTGTATACCCAAAGTCTTCACTGCTAATGGCACGTTCTGCTCTCCTGCCTCCGACCATCCAGCCAGTGTTTCAACTTCACTGATGGCTTTTTTTTTTAAACTATGTTTTAAAATTTGTTCAAATTAGGATTCTAAGTAGGTCCACACTTTACATTTGGTTCTTTGTTCTCTTGCAGTCACTTTAGAATCCAGACTTTAGCTCCCCCGTGGCTTTTCTTTGTTGAAAAGACAAGGTCGTGTGTCCAAAGACCTTGCCACACTCTGAACCTTGCTGATGGGGGCTGGGTGTGTGGGCTAGTTCCCGCAGGGTGTAGTGAACATGCTGGGGGCTGTGCTCCATGCTCCCTCACCACAAGATGTGACTGTCCTTGCACTTCACTTCCTGGGCACCTTGCAGCAGCGGGGTCAGCCTTGCTCAAGGGCAGTGTCCTACCCAGGTGGAGATAGCAGAAAGGTTAAACAAGCACTTCCAGACCCAGTTGTCAAAAGATCAACTTTTTTGTTTGTTTTTCAGCTTTAAAAACTTTAAAAACTTGTTATAAACTAGACTGAAGCATCTTTTTATGGTTTCTCATCTTTAGTAGCTACCGCATCGCTTATGCCTCAGGTGTTGGCTGGTGTGTCAGTGCAGCCTTTCCATCTCATCATCGGTCTCCATCACAAGAAAGTCACCATTTCCCTGCATCTCACTTTTTCAAATTAAACTTTTTAATTTGAGATAATTGTAGCTTCCCTCTGCAGTTGTAAGAGATACTACGTTGCGATCCCCTGTGTCCTGCCACCACTGCTGCCTCCTCAGCCCCTGGCAGCCATGCACCTGTGCTCCCTGTGAAGTCCACGTTTCAGGAATGTTGTGTTAACAGTACAACATGAAATCTTTGGAGATTCGCTTGTTCACTTGTCATGGTTCGCTGGTGATTCATTCAGGTTGCGTGTATCAACAGTTTGTTTCTTTTATTGCTGACTAGTATTCCAGGGTGTCATGTACCACAGTTTAACTGTTTAATGTTCACCCGTTGAAGGACATCTGCCTTGCTTCCAGTTGTTTTCTGTGGTTTTGTTCTCTTTTGTTTTTCTTTTTTTGGATAGTTTCTGTACAGTTTGTATGAGAACACAAGTTTCCATTTTTCTGGGACAGATTTGATAGGCTGAGTCTTATGATAATAAAATTATTATTTTCACCAAATTTTTCATTTAAAAAACTCAAAAGTATTTTTTACTTTTTACTTTTCATTGAATTTTTTGAGCCACATTGGTTAATAAACTTATATAGGTTTCAGTTACACAATTCCATATTACATCATCTGTATATATTGTGTGTTCACCAACCCAAATCAGGTCTCCCTCCATCACCCTTTATCCCCACTTTACCCTTTTCTACCTGGCTTGACCCCCCTTCCCCATAGTCATCATCATACTGTTGTCTGGGTCTATGAATTTTTTTTTCCTTTGCTTAATCCCTTCACCTTTTTCACCCAGCCTACCAATTCCTCTCCCCTCTGGTAATCGTCAGCCTGTTCTGTGTGTCTATGCTTCTGTTTCTGTTTTGTTTGTCAGTTTATTCTGTGCATTAGATTCCACATACGAGTGAGATCATAATGTATTTGTCCTTCTCTGACTGGCTTATTTCATTCAGCACAATACCCTCTAGGTCCATCCATGCTCTCACAAATAGTAAGAGTTCCTTCTTTGTTGTGCCCAAGTAGTATTCCACTGTGTAAGTGGATCACAGCTTTAATCTCCACTCATCTACTGATGGGCACTTGGGCTTCTTCTGAATCTGGGCTGTTGTAAATAATGTTGCAGTGAAGATAGAGGTGCATATATTCTTTCGAGTTAGTGTTTTGGGTTTTTTGGCTATATTCCCAGAAGTGGAATTGCTGGCTCATAATATAGTTCCATCTTCAGTTTTTTGAGGAAATTCTATACTGTTTTCCACAGTGGCTGCACCAGTCTGCATTCCCAACAACAGCCCAAATGGGTTCCCCTTTCTCCACATCCTCACCAAGACTTGTCGTTTATTGATTTATTAATGATGGCCATTCTGACAGTGTGAGGTGATTATCTCAATGTGGTTTTAATTTATTTCTTAGATGATTAGTGACATTGAACATTTTTTCATATGTCTATGTGCCATTTGTATGTCTTTGGAGAAATTAGATTGTTTTTGTTTTATTTTATTCTGTTTTTGGTGTTGAGTTGTATAAGTTCTATATAAATTTTAGATATTAACCCCTTATCAGCTGTATCAATGGTGAACATGTTCTCCCATTTAGTGGGTTTTTTCATTTTGTTGATGGTTTCCTTTATTGTGGAAAAACTTTTTAGTTTGATAGAATCCCATTTGTTTACTTTTTTTCTTTTGTTTCCTTGCCTGAGGGAATATATCAGAGAAATATTGCTATTGGAAATGTCTAAGATTTTACTTCCTGTGTTTTCTTCTACGATTTTAGTGGTTTTTAGTCTTTAACAGTGCATCGAGTTTAATCCATTTTGAGTTTATTCTTGTGTATGGTGTAAGGAGTTGATCTAGTTTCGTGGGGTTTTTTTGCGTATATCTGTCTAATTTTTCTATACCATTTGTTGAAGAGACTCTCTTTACTCCCTTGTATGCTCTTACCTCCTTTGTCAAATATTAATTGACTTAAAGGTCTTGGGTTTATCTCTCAGCTCTCTATTCTATACCATTGCTCTAGGATATGCTGTTTTGTTTACTGTGGCCTTGTAGTATAGTGTAGTATCAGGTATTGTGATCCCTCCAACTTTGTTCTTCCTCAAGATTGCTGAGGCTTTTCAAGGTCTTTTGTGGTTCCATATAAATTTTCAGAATTATTTGTTCTAGATCTGTGAAATATGCCATTGGTATCTTAATAGGAATTGCATTGAATCTGTAGATTGCTGTGGATACTATAAATATTTCAATGATGTTAATTCTTATTCATGAACACAGTATGTGCTTCAACTTATTTGTATCTTCTTCAGTGTCTTTCTTTAGTGCCTTATAATTTTCTGAGTTTAGATCTTTCACATCCTTGGTTAAACTTATTTCTCAGGGGTTTTTTGGTTTTGGTTTTTAGAACACTAAAAAAAATTTTTTTTTTAGTTTCCTCTTCTGATGATTCATTATTGGTGTATAAAATGAAACTGATTTCTGGGTATTTATTTTGTATCCTGCTACTTATCATTTCTAGTAGTTTTTTGGTGGAATCTTATTTAATTTTTTTCTTGCTTGATTGCTGTGGCTAGGACTTCCAGTGCTTCACTGAATAGGAGTGGTAAAACCAGACAGACATCCTTCTTTTGTTCCTGATCTTAAGGGACACACTTTTAGTTTTTGCCTGTTAAGTATGATGTTGGCTATAGGTTTGTCATATATGGTCTTTATTATGTTGAGGTATGTTTCCTCTCCGCCCACTTTGCTGAGAATTTTTATCATAAATGTGTGCTGGATTTGATCAAATGCTTTTTCTGCATCTATTGATGTAATCATGTGATTTTTATCCTTCATTTTGTTTATGTGGTATTTCATGTTTATTGATTTGTGGATATTGTGCCAACCTTGCATTCCTGGAATAAATTCCACTTGATCACGGTGTATGACCTTTTTAATGTATTGCAGGACCTGGTTTGCTATATTTTGTGGAAGATTTTAGCATATCAGGGATATTGGCCTTATAATTTTCTTTCTTTGTAGGTATCTTTATCTAGTTTTGGAATTAGGATAATGCTGGTCTTGTAAAATGAACTTGGAAGTCATTCCTCCTCTTGATATTTTTGGAATAGTTTGAAAAGGAGAGATATTCTTTGAAATTTTGTTAAATTCACCTGTGAAGCCACTGGTCCAGGACTTAGGTTTATTGGGAGTTTTTAAATTGCTGCTTCAATTTCATTCATTGTAATCAGTTTATTCAAATTTTCTGATTCTTCATGATTGAGTATGGGAATATAGTATGTTTTTAGGAATTTATTATGTCTAGATTGTCTAACTTGTTGGCATATAGTTCATAATATTGTCTTATAATCCTTTGTATTTCTTTGCTGTCAGTTGTTACTTCTCTTTCATTCCTGATTTTATTGATTTGGGTCCTCTTTTTCTTGAAGAGACTGGTTAAAGGTTTGTCAATCTTGGTTGTCTTTTCTAATGAAATAGCTCTTGGTTTCATTGATCTTTTATATTTTTTTTAGACTCATTTCTTTCTGCTCTAATCTTTATTATTTCCTTTCTTATGCTCACTGTGGGCTTTTTTCCCCCTCCCTTAGTACCTTTAATTATAGGGTTGGATTATTTATTTGAACTTTCTCTTGTTTCATGAGGTAGGCTTGTAATGCTATGAATTTCCCTCTTTGGGATTGCTTTTGCTGTGTCCCATAGATTTGGGGTGGTTGTGTTCTCATTTTCATATGTTTCAAGGTATCTTTGATTTCTTCATTGATCTCATTGTTAACCTAGTTATTGTTTAGTAACATGTTATTTAACCTCTATATTTTTGTGTCTTTTTTTTTCTTGTGATTGATTTCTAGTTACATACCATTTTAGTCAGAGAAGATGCTTGATGTGATATCAGTCATTTTAAATTCATTGAGACTTGTTTTGTGTCCTAACATGTGGTATCTCCTAGAAAACATTCCATTTACACTTGAAAAGAATGCATATTTTGTTTCTTGGGCATGAAATGCTCTGAAGATGTTAATTAAATCCATCTGGTATGGTTTGTCATTAAGGCCACTGTTTCCATGTTGATTTTCTGTCTGGAAGATCTATCCAGTGATGTCAGTACAGTGTTAAAGTACCCTGCTATGACTATATTACTGTCAATCTCTCTCTCTTTTTTTTAATCTTCTAAGATTTGCTTTATATATGTAGGTACTCCTGCGTTGGGTGCATAAAAGTTTACTAGGGTTGCATCCTCTTATTGGATCGCTCCCTTTATCATTATGTAGTGTCCTTCTTTGTCTCTTGTTACCCGCCTTTGTTTTAAAGTCTTTGTTAGATAGAAGTACTGCTACCCCAGTTACTTTTTTATTTCTATTTGCATGAAATATCATTTTCCTTTCCTATACTTTTAATCAATATGTTTCTTGTTCTGAGGTGGGCCTCTTGTAGATAGCATGTATGTGGGTCTTCTCTTTTTATCCATTCAGCTGTAAGGTATTTTTTAAAGTGATAAGGAAGGAAGGTGACGGACATATGGTATGTATGTTTTCAGTAGGGAAATTAATCCATTGAAAGTGATAAAGTAGCTGTTTTCCCTGTTACCTCTTCGTATTTTTTCTTAAAAATACATTTTTAAATGCCTTGCAGATTCACTAGACCGGAGCACTTGGGAAGCAGCGCCAAGATCAAATGCAGTGGCTGTCACAGCTACCAGGAGTCTACCAAGCAGCTCACCATGAAGAAACTGCCCATTGTCGCCTGTTTCCATCTCAAAGTAGGTTTTCCAGGAAAGCTCCAGCAGCTGACTCAATTTTTAGTTCCTAGTACAACTTAGAGCCAGTCGGTGTGGTGTACAGAGCTCGTTTCATAATTACAGCAACTCCCTAAGTGTGCTGAAGAACCAAGATAGTTAAGTTGTACCTTCCCCTGTCTCCCATTGCCATCAGAAATCCGTTGTGATGAACAGAAAGTCTTCACTGCAGAATGAAGATAGGGTGCGAGCTGCTCCACTGAGGGTGGGGCTGTTATGGTTTTACTACTCCTACCTAAGTTCTTCCATCCCCATTCCAGGTTTTCTGTTTTTCTTTTACTTAAAAGCAAAGAAAGACCCTTAGCATTATGACCTAGTCCAGGAGTCAGATAGTAAGTATTTTCAGGTTTGCAGCTATACAATCTGTTTGAGATTTTTCTTTGAGTTCAAATATGTTAAAACAAGAAACTATTCTTAGCTTCCTATGTGGATTTGGTGGCCTCTGATATAGTCAAAAGAATGCCTCTTATCTTGTGAAAGGAACGATATATTTGTTTTTGCTCCCAGAGGTTACAGATATTGCCTCTGTTTTCTATTACCTTGCACTTCGTTGAATTTGTTGTAAGATTACTTTTTTGTGCACTGGGTATTCATCACTTTGAACAGTCACTTTAAGATTTCACTTGAACCCCATAAGTTAGATTTATGTAGATATTGTGTTATTGGCTATGTAAGCTCCAGATATGGCCAGCAGGCAATCAGCATTAATGAAAAGCCTGATTTGGGGACCACACAGAGAAGCACCCCTGGAGGAAGCCCATTACAGCAACATTCCTCTTCTCTCCCCCATTTCTGTAGCGATTTGAACACTCGGCCAAACTGCGGCGAAAGATTACCACATATGTGTCCTTTCCCCTGGTACTGGACATGACCCCCTTCATGGCATCCAGGTATGGAAGGTTTTGTTCAGCTGTGTCTGGCATTGGGAGGGTATGGCTTTGTGAGTTCCATAATGTATACCAGCTCCCTGATGAGACAATTGCAGACATTGATAGAACCACAACTGCTAAAACCAAGTACTGTCCTGATCTTCACCCAGGACACATTTCAGCTTAATGAATTCTTTCTCCTCAGATGTCCTGTTTTAGCTGTGAGTTTTTCCAAACAGCCCTTCATCAGCTCCCAGACTTCAGAAATCAAGATGGAGTCCCTGCAGAAAGGCAGTATTTTAGCTGCTGCATCTGGTTCTGGAATGTGGCGAAACATAGTTGATTTTGCATTTGTAGATTACATTTATCATGTTTTCAGATCTTCGTACCATAGACCACTTAAAATTTACCCTAAAAAAAAAAGCAACAGTTACTAATAATATGCAGGCTACAAGTTGTTGGTTTCCAAAGGCCATTGTAACGCATTACCACAAAGTTTGTGGTTCAAAGCAAGAAGGTGTTGGCAGGTCTGTGCTTCCTTGGAAGGGCCCAGGAAAGATTTCATTCCTTCCTGGGAGGTGTGCCATCCCACACACATGGGCCGGCCCCATGCCTAATGGCAGGTGTACTCTCAGTAGTTCACATCCCAAGCCTGGGCCTTGGTTTCTTCGCCTTAACAGGGGGATGATCTCTGCCTAGAAAGGAGTGTTGTTGGGAGAACTAGCAAGTATATATAAAGTGAATTCAACACAGTGCCCGGCATAGTAAGCCCCCACTAGCATTGGTGTCATCCAGTCCATGCTTCTCTTCATTTCAGTGATTTTTACCCAGTGCGCTGCAGCATGCCAGCACGCTGGAAGAATTTGTAAAACCTGACTGTTTATTCAGGGGCACGGACCTCTTTTCCCTTAGATCATCAAATAACAAAATGACAACAGCCAACGCAACAATAGCTGTCCAGTGTGAATGAATCAAAATTATATACCTGTTTTGTTTTCTTTTGTTTTTTCAGATGGTCAAAAAAATAGATATTTTTTTGGTGAACCACAGAATTTTAGTAATTAGTTTGTATGTGCCATGAGGTAAAAAAGGGTTCATTGTTGCTGCTTTGGTTGGTTTAAAGGGTGCTGAGTGTCACTGTTGTTTGTTACAGCAAAGAGAGCAGGATGAACGGACAGTACCAGCAGCCAGCAGACAGCCTTAGTAATGACAACAAGTGAGTGCTGCCTTGTGTGGGTGCTCTGACATTGCGGGGCCCAGTGGGGAGAGCCCGGGGCTCCCAGGGAGTGGGCAGGGTGGGGGCCCCCAGCATTTCACAGGGAGACAGCTGCGTTTCTGAGTGGCAGTGGCAGGGCTGCTGCTTTTGGTCACTGCCATACTGCCCATCGGTCTCTCTTGAAAATACCTGAGCCCACTATTAGGAAGGACTTTTCACACCTTTACTGTAAATGCTCCCTCCTATGTAGGGGCTTCATGCCCTTCTCCTGGCCTCCGGGTGTGAGTGAGGGTCAGTCTGGCCATTGCAGTTCTGGAGCAAAAGCTTGGCATCTGAATTCTGGGCTCTGTGACCTCTTCCTTGGCTGGCACCATGATGAGGCCTCTGCTCTTTCTCTGACTGCCTTTCCACCGCTGGTGTAGCCAGCCGATGGGATGAAGGGGAGAGTGGTTACAGTGTCTCCCACACCAGTTGCTCTGCAGACTAGAGGCCGCACAGGCTCCCTCTGTCCCTCCATGCCCCCAGGCCTCCAGCATTGATTTTGGGGGCCAGGGAGACCCCTCACTGCACAGGTCTCCAACTGTTCGGGCTATGTGGTTTCTGATGATGATAAAATTAAGTTAACCACTGATCTCTCCCAACTCGTTTCCTTTCAAACCAGATACTCCTTGTTTGCAGTCGTTAACCACCAAGGGACCCTGGAGAGTGGCCACTACACGAGCTTCATCCGGCAGCACAAGGACCAGTGGTTCAAGTGTGATGATGCCATCATCACCAAGGCCAGCATTGAAGATGTGCTGGACAGTGAGGGGTGCGTTGGGGGTGGTTTGTTGCCCCATGTGGGTGTCTGAGCCCAAAGCCATGTCTGTTTTTAGTATGATTCAAGAGAGGTCACTTTTGGTGGCTGGAGTAATGAGGCTTGTTCTGGACAGGATGCCGACCCTGAAGGGCCACTGGGTAGGACGATGTGCCTGAGCGAGAACAGTTGGTTAAAAGCCTCACCCAGAGCATGGGGCGGTGGTCATTTCTTTTAGTCTTGACAAGAGCTGACATGTGGGTCCCTCTGAAGCTCCTCTCTCATTTCCCATTTTATTCCTTCCTGGCACATCATCCACCTTCAGCTTTGCTGAATCCTTAGTCTAGCAGTAGGCTCCTAGCCCCAGGGATAAGCTGCATGATCTGAGAGGTGCATCTGTGGGTTCCCAGGTGTGGGGGAGCCCCCAGGGCAGGTCTACAGAGGAGGGACAGACTGTGGGTAGTTAATGGGGTGGAGCCCTGGGGGGTCAGACTGAATGGGTTGTGGGAACCTTATCAGAAGTCACACTGACCCAAGGCCCTGGCAGCCCCGGACAGGACGGGACAGGACAGGGTGGGACATTGACCCTGAGGCTCTAGCTGTCCCAGACAGGAGAGGTTGGTTCAGGAGCTGTATGGCAGGCAGGACTGATAGGACTTAGGGCTTCCTGGTGAATGGGCAGGGGATGGACATAGGGGACTCTGGCGTTTGGTAGGGACATTGCCATTACCTAGCTGAGGACCCTCCTTGGGGACTAGGAACCAAAAACCGTCCCAGCAAGAAATCAGACTGCTGGTGAGTACTGAGGCCATGGAACCAAGGTTCTGGCCGAGGAGATTGTTTTATGTTGAGTGCTCATGAATTAGACCATAAACATGCTCTGTCTTTGCCTCCACAGATACCTGCTCTTCTACCACAAACAGGTCCTGGAATATGAGTAGCCTTTTTTTCGGCTGATCAGAAAAATGAAGGTCTCACAAAATGACCCCCAATCGCCCAACTCCATGCTACCACCCCCCACATGGAAGTACCCCAGGAGCATCAGAGCCCTCTGCCACAGGCCCGGGGGTGGAGTGGACATGCACTGTGGTGGGAGCCCTCTTAGGACTGCAAGCAGAGAAGCGAAACAATGGGTGTGTTCTGCATGGGAAGTGGCAGAGTAGATACATCACAAGGGTATCTCCTTTGCTCCTCAAACAGCGTGTGCGTGTGTGGGGTGGGTGCCCCCATGGCATGGAGTAACCTCGCCCTGGTGCTTCAGTTTTGCCATGTGATGGTACACTTTCAAAAGGCGCTGGTCAATTTTTAATTATGGGTTTATTAAAGCAGTAGAGAAAACAATAGCTGTGCAAGGACAGAGGATTTTGCAAGTATCTTTGTGAGTCTTCGTATTAAATATGTATAGTATGGAACTCTTAGCTTTTGTGAGTAGAGCCTGTGTAATTGAAGATGCTGACTGGGATTTTTGAGCATGTGTGTTCCACAGATAACACAGTGTCAGCTGCATGTGGCGTGTCAGCCTGGGTGTTGCTCACTTTTCTACAAGTAGGCATTTTCTCATTCCCCTCATTTTCCTTCTTTTCCACAGTGGTAAATTTGATAAATGTAATGTTAGTAACGTGGATGAATAGAGTTAGTAATGAAATTTAGGTAGCTTTTTCATTCTTGAGTGAATCTTGCTTTTGGTGCTGTTTTGTTGTCCCCGCTGTGACCTGACCCTCCACCCCCACCCCTTGGAAGCACCACACCCTGGTTAAAGCAAGTGGGGTGAATTGGGTGTCACTGGTTCAGTCGTGTTACTCTTGAGCAATTGAAGCATTTTTTGATGATTTTACTATTTCCCTTCCTCATGTTTTCTTCTTGGCTGCCTTTCCCACTAGCTGTCCTGTCACTGCGTGCTGGCCAGAGTGGCTGAGTGCCTCTGCATTTCATTCAGTGTAGTTTAAATTGTAGCAGGAAAAGGGACTCTGTGATCAAGCTTGTGCAGAGAGCTGGCTAAGGAGCCGCCTTGGTCCCTGTGAGGTGTCTTGTATGCATCTATGTATCCAACACTCCAAGCCAGGTTTTTGTCCATTTCTGAGAAATTTTAACCCAGAGATGTAGGGGAGGAAAAGTTGCTTCAGTAGTTTGTGAAACATGCTGTGCTCGTCTTGAGAGCCCAGTCTGTGTCTGAGCTGTGGCATATGCATTCTTAGGGGAGAGTATCATTATTTAAGGGTCAGCTAACTTTTTTCTTAAAGGGCCCAAATGGTAGCTATTAGACTTTCTGGGTCTCTTGCTATAGATAATACATAAACAAATGAGCCTAGCTATATTCCAATAAGACTTTATTTATGGACATTGAAATTTGAATTTCATATCATTCTCTCACTTTGTGAATTTTTTTTCACCGTTTAAAAATGTGTGAACTATTCTTAGCTGACAGGCCATACAGAAGCAGGCAGTGGGCCAGATCGAGCTGTTAGCTAGTTAGATAGGAGGAAGCTGGTCCCAACAGAGTCAAGTAGTTACTGCCAATGGAAAATGCTAGGAAATGCAAAGCAGCGATTCTACTGCAGAATCATCATTATGGCCAAATTCCTAGTGATAAGGTTTTGAATGCTCGCTTCATTTGTTCTATTATATTTCTGCATTTGTGGAACACAGCTTTTAAGGCATGTTTTAAAATAGCAAGTGTTTTTGGAGAAGTTTGGAGGGTGCAGACTTTTAGATATGGCCACATGTGTTTGAGCGTGGGTGGGGGTGGCCTGCTGTGAAGATTTCTTTTGGAGAGAGGTGGTCTTCTAATAATAAACAAATTTGACTGAAGTCAGCCTGTGGAGTTCTGAGCCGTAAAGTCTCTCCCTGCAGTTGGCTGCCTTGTATCCTCCTACTTGACTGGAGTGTTCTGAATGCACAATGGGGACAAAGCAGATGTATTGGCCATGGAGTTTCTAGAAGATTACCTACCTGTGGTCTGGCCAGCCTGCTTCCCAGATCAGTCGCCCCCCTAGACCTCTTCCTGTCTTCGTTAATGTTCAGAGGCTCGGCTGTGCCGAGGAGGTGCTGTGCAAGATGTGTGTGTTTGAATCTGTCTCATTAGGAACACAATATTACATGATGGCTTTGGGAATTTATCCCCTTTTTAAAAAATTTTTAAGCCCTCAATCCAGCTCTTAAATTCAGGGAAAGGGTGTTTTTGTTTCCTAACAACCACCCCTGGGTAGGTGCTCCTATTATGACCAAGTGCGTCTGACCACTAAGGAATCATGAGGTACCCCTCCACTCCCACCAGTGTGTGTGTATAGTGACCTGTGTTTCTCAACTGCTGGCTGTCATTTCAGCACTTTCCAGTGAATAGGTGGACTTTTCCTCTTCAGATGTCTGCAGTGAGTTCTGAGCAGTGTAGAGTGCTGGGAGAGTCGGGCTGGGGCCACTTGAGGGTGGGGTGGCCAGATCTCCTCCGACAGCACAGCGTCTCGCCCGTCAGGTGCTAGAATGTCCCCAGACCCTCTGTCCTGCACCACATAGACCCAAGCATTTGTGGTTTGGCTTTCACTGTGTCTAGTTGCCAGGTTTTTGTGTTTTTGTTTTTGACAACTGAAGTGATTGTTATAACTAAAAACAAAAATTGTAAGAAAAAGATTTCAGTGATTGTGCTATGGGTTTAATTACCAAGATGTTTATACCTCTCTCTTACCTGTTGTTTTGAGAAACTGTTTGACTCTTCCCCCTCCCTTAATGGCTTGTAGTCTTTCCTATGTCATAATAAACTACATTTTCTTCTGAGAATTGGCTGGCTCTCTCCCCTTTCTAGCACCAGCAGCCAAACAGAGGTCCAGGGCACAAGAGTCCCCAGGGCATGGGCACCACCTGGGCAGGCCTGTCCAGTGGAGGAAGCCCACCGACCCCAGTGCCCAGAGCTGCAGCCCGTGTTCCTTATTCTCGGTTGGGCCTATTGCCTCTTTGCCCTTCTTTTCCTCTTCCTGTGGGCAGGGTGGTGACATATCCTGGATTCAGAACTACCGCAGGGCTTCAGGCTTCGGTGTGCATAAAAGTCATCGGAGAGGCTTCTTTAAATGGGGAGTCCTTCGCAGAGTTTGATTACAAGACCCAAGATGTGGCATAGGGACATGCATTTACAGAAAGCTCCTCAAGTGATGAGGACATAGCATATGCAAATAAATAAGCCAAGAGAAGATGTGCCCAGTCTCTGCTGTCCTTGATTCTGTAACTGGTCACGGGGCTGTAGTTGGCACCTGTAGCATCCTCCTTCCACTTTACCTTGCACATTTCCCTTGCCCTCAGACCTCAGCTGGTCTTTACCTGATTGACCAAAACCCTCATTTCTGATGTGTTCTTTTTTGGGGAGCTTTTGTTGGAAGTTCCTTCATTTTCCTTACACAGAAATACCAAGAGGTGCCAGGAAATCCCTTGGGGTTCCAGCCTTGGTCCTCCTGTCCCCATTGTGTGGCAGTCTTTTCATATTAAATAGAAACAGGGTTGTCCCCCCAGGGGAAGCTCCTCCTTTGTGGTCCAAGACCTTCAAACCAGCAAAGCCCAAGTTTTCCAGGACAAGAACAAGAAAAATTTATAGTTTGGTGATTTCATTGCAATGCTGAAAAGTGCCCATCACCCTCTGACCCCTTGATCCTCAGGCCAGGGTGTTTTAGCTGTGGGAGAATCGGTGCCATACAACAGTCTCTGGTTAAAAGCATAAGTCATCCAGAAGAGAAGAACCCCATGACCATAACCCCATTACCATAGCAGAGAATTTGTGAGCTCAGCTGCATCCTCATGATGGATGTGGACTAAAAACAGTTCCACAGACAGAAACTCATTGCTGCATATCCTTTGCTGTAAATTGGATTTTGTGATCAGAAGCAATGCTGCATGGGATGTTGCAATAGTGGACGGAAGTGCCAAGATACAGGGCAGGCATATTTGCATCTAGCATGTGGGTGTATTGCAGGGAAGACAAATCTCTGCCTTTGTGATGGACGAGGCCCGGTGTAGTCAACCTACTACTGAGTAGCTAGTTGGTCCTTCTGGGAAATGTCATTCCAAGCATTCAGTGTTAGTCTCTGTTAGCCGGTTAGGTGTTCTGCAGAAGTCATCCTAGTGAACCTTGGACAAGGCAAATCTGTGTCACTTGAGCCTGTTCTAGCCTCTACCTCCGTCTTGATGGCCACTTAGTTCATGAGCCTGCCAAGCTCAAGAACTGGTGGCTCAAGCATAGTGGCTGGTGAGGAAGCTAACTCACACCCACAGGGCATGCTGGTTTGCCCCCAATCATTGAGAGCATCCTCTCTGTGGATTCTCATGGGCACATGGGTACAGATACCTGCACAGTCTGCCCACATGGAGAGATCTGTCCCCATCCAGATCTGGTCACTCATGTTTAAATCCTGTTCCAAGTCCTTGATCATCCAGCCAAGCTGTTAGCAATTCCCCATAAACCCATGTACTTTCAGGCCTTGCTCATTCCAGACAAAGCGGGCAACCAGGTGTCCGGGTCCAACTCCCTCCCACTCATAGTATTTCCTTCATCACTGTCCTGAACACTTAGCCTCAGCCATCTGGTCACAAGGAACACTTGAGGAGGCCATGCACAAGTGTCTGTTGAACAAGTGAGCCACCTGCTCATGTAATTTACAGTACTTTGTGCATGCGCCCAACTCAGTCTCAAATGCCATATCCCCTATGGCTGTTGGACTCAACCAGCCTTAAGGCTAAGCAAGTCAGACAACATTCAGTGTGTTATGAGATCCTCTGCTGCATGGTCAGCTTGTTCTATTAAGTCCTAGAAGCAAACAAGCTATCTCTAAGAAATATCTGCAGAAGAGGATATAGATTTGACTTGCTTTGCTTTGAAATCTTGGAGGGCTGTGCTCTTTCTCTCTGATTGGTCCTTGCTAAGATCTCCATAAAGCCTCCTTGTTTGCCCTGGACTGTTGAGTATGAATGGATCTTCTGGATTGTAAGACTCAAGTGGTCCCACCTGAAATTGGGAGCCATGTGGGGCCTCTGCAGATTGATCAGGTTAACACACTGAAATGTATATACTGCCTCCAAAACCCAACAAGGCCTGCAAAGTAAGCACTGTGCAGCTTTTTATGGAGTAGGTGGTGTGAAGTACAGCAACTTGTCTTCTGCCTTGAAGAGGACATTTTGGTATACTTCAAACCACTGAACCCCCAAGAAACTTCATTGAATTGAGGAACGCTGAGTTTTGAGGAGTTTATTTCTCATGCTGTGGTTCACTCTTATAAAGCATCTGTCGAATTTGCTACTTCTTGCCTATCAGGTACAATCAGCAAAATGTCATCAATGTTGTGGACCAGTGTAATATTTTATGTACTATCAAGATGGTCAATATTCCTCTAGATTCTATTATAGCAGAAGGAATTAATATAACCCTGAGGCTAGGCTATACCATGAGGGTGTACTGTTGGCCCCGCAGGTGACAGCAAACTGCTTTGGTGGTTTACCAGTGGGTGCAGAGAAAGGCCTTTGTCAAAGTCAGTGGATATATACTTAGCTGGGGACCATGTAGATTTGCTCCAGTAAAAGCACATCTGGCAGCAACTGCAATTTGATAAGCCTTGATTAGGTTTGTAATATAGACATGGTTTTGCTTTATTGTGCCTCTTAGATGTTGCCTTTTTCTTTTTTTTAAGCAAGTTTAAGGCAAGGTCTTCTACCAGCAAAAAGATTACAACTGGCTTAATTGCAATACTTGCTCTATTGCAGTGGCCTGAAACTGAATCTGCAATGTCTTCTAGGCGTGTCAAAGTCTATAGTCGTTCTCTAATATCTGTTGGACTTGTAGGAGGTGGAGTTCCAGAGACTTCCACTATTCTTCTAGCCTTAGTAGCCCTCATCCAATAATCACACAGTTATGTGGGAACACTGCTGGTCGTCAAGTGTGCCCAGTGTGCACTCACATTGGGGAAATAACCACAGAATGGATCAAATATACTTCCACTTTTAAAGATAAGAAGTTGTATGTTTAATTTCTGGGCAGAATCTCTGAGGACCAATGCATGCTTTTCTGTGCTCTCTTTCCCTCTGCCCTGACACTGCCCATGATCAGGCAGTGTCCCCATCAGCCAGAAATAGTCTTGGGCTCTGTCAATAAAAGAATAACTAAAAATGGGCAGAGGCCAGATTTACTCTTTTCACAGAACTTAACATAGTGCTTGGTCCATGATATTCATTGAATAAGTGACTGTCCCACGTAGCTTGTGATGCCCATAACTAGAGAACCCAGGCCCTGTTTCCAAGACACTCACAGGAAGGGAAATAAGTGTTCTGTGGTATTCACCCAATCTGAGAAACATGGACTGCACTTGGAAGTGACATTACCAGTGGTTCTGAGGAGAAGCCCTGAGGCAGCTGGGGTCCTGGTGAAGGCTGAAGGCCCGTGCGGCAGGAGCACAAGAGGAGAGTAGGAAGGCTTGGCCTTGTAGACATCAAGAGCACTGGCACAGGATGGCAAGCAGACTCGGAGCTCGGCCACATGAGAAACATTGGGGGAACAGGAGCTACATCTTAAGGATTTGTGGAATAGCTTCCTTTAGTTAAAGGCTCATGAAAGAATAGAACTTGGTTTTGGGTGCCGCTGAGACATAGAACCAGCTGAAAGATACAAAGCAGCAGAATCTCAGACTGGGAGAGCACTGTCCCAGAAGAGCCACTGGAACATGGGCAAGCTTGTGTAGTCAGTCAAGGACAGAAGGACCAGGGATCTCAGCCTTTAATGGGCAGGTGAGTGTGACAGGGAGGGAGGGAGAGGAGCAAGGCCAGGTGTGGAAGTTGGGGTGCAATGTAGTCATAACAAAGGCCTCAGCCAGCCCTCCAGGGAGCTCTGGGGGTGCCAGCCAGGCTGGCCCCACAGAGTTAGGCCACATTGGCTCTTACGGAATCAGACGGTCCCCAGGAAAAAGTGGAGGTGTGAGTGAGGTGGCCCTGGTGATTAGAGGGTAGTTCCTAGAGAAGAACTCAGCTGTGAGCCACCAACAAGCAGGCTTCCTCTGGAGCGGGACTGAACACGTCAGCCCTGGGGCACTTTGGGGGTCACCACAGTGTCCAGCCACCACATTCTGTTGCATCTCTGACACAGGCATGAAATTCCATCAGGCAACAGGCAGGCTGGCCAGTTTAATCCACAGAAAACCGGAAGCACCAACTAGGACCAATTTCACAGGATATGACACTGTTTCTTTCCTTTTCTCTGGGTCCCTAGCTCCCTGTTTGCAACACAGGTCTTGCTAAATGAAGAGGCATACTCCACCTTTTACATTGGAAGAGATCTGTCCACCTGAAATCCCATACACTACCCCAGTGTGGGAGCTTATTTAAGTTGGAGACTATTCTTCATGCAACAAATTCATGAAGACTCACTTTGACTTCTTAGAGTTCCGTGTGACACCTCATTCTGTCCTGGTCAATGTGACCCAAAGAAACCAGCTGAGTGTGGTGGGGAAAGCTCTTCCCAGGAGACAAGAAATGAGTGTTCTATTGGGGGCTCCACACTTACTGGGGGTGCTCCTGGGGCTGGCGACTTCCCTTGGAGGCCTCTTGGGATTTGTAAGGCAGGAAGGTGGGGAGTTAACTCGGATGGTCTGGAAAAGCCTTTCCAACCTTGATGTGGATGAATATAAAGACTTTTCCTCCCTGCTTCTTCTGATAATGGTGACACCACCAATCACTATAAATGGGTTTAAGTAGCTAGGAGAGCAAGAGGAAATATATTGTAAATTAACTGCATTTTTGTAGAATGTTAA